GATGAGTAGTGTTGAAAATACTCATTTTTATATATAATAGGAGGCCTAGATTGGGCAGACCTTCTTGCACATGCAAATGAAGTATTATATTTGTCCAAGCATAATATTTTAATTATTGTGCATTATAAGATAGATTGAATTATTATATCTGGTCAGTAGAATTATTGACTTAGAGAATTAGAATCAGATATTATTAATCTTTGTCCAATCTCCTCCTCATTTTACAAATTAAGATAGATGTTTATAAGTGGTGGGAACCCTTCCTGCACCTCACAATTCCTGGAGACACTTTATAAGCACATGGCACCAGGTTTCCAGCCTTAGGGATCCTGACATCTTCTTTCTGTTTCCAGAGTGTGAGGTCTGAACACTGGTAATTCAAAACAAAACAAAACAAAACAAACAAACAAAAAAGAATGACATGTTTATAGCTGGCTGGCTTGTCCTGTGGAAGGGAGCTACCTAAAGGCATGCATGGGGACCTTGAGATCAGAGTGGCTTTATAGCTGGATCAAGTGACAATCAACAGGCTTTGGTGCTGTTGACTTAAGCGAAAAGCAATTGGCGGAAGTCAGAGGTTTTAAAAGCAGATATGTTGTATAAGATCAGCCCCTGGTGGCCACCTTCACTACTACAATTGTCCAGCTTTGGGGTGGAGGCCATTTGGTTTAACACAAGTCTCCCTTTCCAAGTCACATTGAGAATGTTAGGAACACAAACCGACTCTAGATGGCAGACAAAGAGCATCCCTGTTTATGCATAGATACGGAGTACTGGCTTTTTAAAAGGTTGCATGGCAGAGCACCTGTCCACTTCTCTCTAAAATAAGTTGTGTCTCTTCAGCTGTTGCCATCATTTGCAAAAGAAACAGCCCAGAAACTCCTTTGTTCATTCCTTTTGAGACTGGGTCTCACTGTTAGCTCAGGCTAGCCTTGTACTCACTATGTAGCTCAAGCTGGCCTAGAATTTTCAGTAATCAATCATTCTGTCTCAGCCCCTTGAGTGCTAGAGATACAGACGTGAAATGCAATGGCCCGCTAGTCACAGACACTCCACAATGCAAATGGAAACCCTGCTCTGTTCTTTCCACCCTCCCCAATGCTGCATTTGGTTTCTCTAGCGTTCCTTCAGAGCCACCAAGCACTTTTCCAGCATCACAGAGATGGGCATTCTATACCCAAACCCCAAAGGGACCAGTAAAGGGAGTTGCAACTGGGTTAATATTTCCTAACAGAGGATGGTTGGCTGGGATGTCCTGCCTCCCTGGTATTTTCTGCTTTTTTGATACAGATAAAGGTCTAGAAGCAGTTCTCCACATTAGCATAGAGGGTTGATGATTTCCACCATGAACAAACACTTCAGCAGGGGGTAGCAGGGTGTGTGTGTGTGTGTGTGTGTGTGTGCGCGCGCGCACGCGTGTGCACATGCACGAGCGCGTGCTTGTGTGTATGCGAACACACATGTTCTGTCTTAGAAAGGTAGCCTTTGTCCAGCTCCCTTGGCTGGTGTGGGAAATGCTTAGGACTTTCCAAAATTTCAAGAGAGTCCTCTAATCTAAATGTTAATTAGGGTTCTGCTCCATGTGTCCATTCATTCCGTGTTTGCTGAGTGACTACTCTAAGCTCATGTAAGTTTGAACTCAAGCAGACAAAGCCCCTGGCTTTGGGAGGCTTCTGACCTAATAGATGATAGGCTCAGAAAAGGGATGAAATTTAAAATACATACAGTGGCTTCCTTCTTCTTTTGTTTTAGAAATTGTTTCCTGCCCCCCATTTAATCCCTGAGAATGTATTTCTTTCAAAATTACTCTCCGAAAAGGACATAACACATTTGTTCCTCAAATATTAATGCTAAGAAAGTATTATTCCTCCAAGAGGCATTTGAATTTGGAGCTGGAGGATGGTAACTATAAACTTTTATACATCACTTGTTTGGGTGTTTGAGTATTGTTAGGGTTTGGCATCAAAAGAAAACCTTGGCAGTACATCCAAGGACGTACAATGCCACTAACAAGTATTTTGTTGGGAGAGTAATGTCCTACTGCTTTTGTGACAAAGCACCATGTTAAAAGCTTGGAATTAAGAATTTATTATTTTACAGACTAGGAGTTTGGAAACAAAATGTCTTTGCAGGGGTGTTTCTTGAGGTTTAGGGGAGAATCCATTTCCCTTTTCAGCTCCTAGTATCTTTCCAGAGCCTTGGCTGTGATCCCAAATCACTGGGTTCCAGACTTCCATCACCCATTGATCCCTTCTGTAACTCACACTCCCTGCTTTCTAGTTAAGGGCCCTGTGACTGCCCTGTGCCCTTGTACATAGCCCTAGGTAATCTCTAGGTAAATTAAGTGGGCCTTAATTTAATCACATTGTCACAAAGGAAGAACTTACTTCTAGGTTCTAGACACGGCCATCACTGGGAGCCATTATTCTTCCCACTATAGAGCATGCTAATCTAGACTGTGAGTGGGGTTATTTGACAGCTCCTTAGTTAAAACTTTCTGCTTCTCATTTGTTGAAATTTTGGGAACAAAATAATTGGATAGTCTTTTTGAAGAGTAGACTGCCAGGCCAGGCACAGAGTCACATGCGTGCAATCCCAGTACTAGGGAGAAAAAAAGCAGGAGAATCAGAAATTCAATGACCTTAGTCATGGTGAGTTTGACTTGAACTATGTGAGTTCAAGGCCAGCCTGAACCACATAAGGTTTGTCACCATTACTTTTTTTCCTTTGAGACAGGATTTCTCTGTGTAATAGTTCTGGCTGTCCTGGAACTTGCTCTGTAGATGAGGTTGGCCCCGAACTCACGGAGATCCTCCTGCCTCTGCCTCCTGAGTGCTGGGATTAAAGGTGTGTGCTAAAACTGTCCAGCTATCATCATTACTTTAAAAAAAAAAAAAAAAAACCTCAGGTTGCTCAGATCCAGTATAGCTTTCGAGAAGGTATCTTATCTCATTTGCATGTCTGAACTTATCGTTTACCCTGAAGGTGTCTTTGGACCATAGTTTGCTTGTAGGATGGGTCTTGCAACAATACTGTACTTTCAGATCTCTCTCGAATTTGAAAGGCAGAGGCCAAGTAAAGAGGCAGTGGCCAGTCAGGAACTAAAAGAATGGTTATCACTGTTTTCCAAAAAGGACCAGGGTTGCTCACATTAGCAGCTGGTTTTTGTTGTGTTGTTGTTTTCCTTCCTGATGCCTAGGTAACTGTCTTGTTCCTGGAGTTTCCACACAGCAGCTGCTGGACCTTGTGGTTCCTAGTCACCTCGAGGGAAAATGGAGGCAGTCCAGTCTGTCCACTAGCATCTTGGATTTTCATATATTGAACTGCTGCAGGTTCCTACTCTGAAGGAATAGTTGTCTTCTTCCAGTCCGCATAGCTTTGACCTATTGTTATTTCCTCCTTTGAATATCTGCTTTTGGGTGGGTTTCATACTAAGAGCCTTTATAAGTCACTGTGATAAGATTTTCAAAGGTCTCTACCTTATTGATTTAGCAGGCATCCATTCACCATAAGTAGCTTCGGCTGAGTCCAAGTTAAATATTGTTTGAAAAACATAAAAAGATGAATTTAATAGGTTCACACCAGTTTAAGTACCATCAGCAGCTGCAATAAAGATTTGTAGGGATTTTAAAATGAAGATGTCTTTAATTTTCTTGTTACTTACACTGTACTAGATAAAAAGATTTTGACGAATACTGTTTGGAACACATGTAGAAACACAAAAGAATGTAGAGGGGAATTTATGTCACTGACTCTAAGTGAACTTCCTAAGCTGGCCTAGGAGGCAGAATACTCCTGGGAAGGCTGTCCTTGAGAAATCCAAAGTGTGGCTTACTTAACAGCCTAGGCATGGAGAGATGGCTCAACAGCTAAGATCACTTGATGCTTCTGCAAAGGACTTGGGTTTAGTTCCCAGCACCCGGGGGAGGTTCACATCGACAACAACAACACACGGCACAGGACTGATATCTGATGCTCTCTTCTGGCTTCTGAAGGCACAAGGCACACCGATGTGCACATACCTACATGCAGACAAAACACTCACACATAAAATAATAAATACTAAATCCCCCGTGGGCTCCGTTATACTGAGCAATTTTGTGAACTATTGCAGGGTTAAGGAGCTGATACATAGTAGGCAGGTTGTACTTTTGTATACTGTTCTATTGTTGGAGTTCAGTAAATTTTAGCTATGTTGGGGGGGGGGGTTCAACAGGACATGAAGCTACTACAATCGTATAAGCAGACCAATACACCTTTATAAGAGCAGTGTGTAGCACAATAGTTTCAATTAATTAGGTACAACGAGTATGCCTCAGACTTGCCAGCTGCTGAGGTATGGATTGTCTTAAGTGTTCTCAGTTCGTATCCGTCGTGTATAACGAAACATGACTTAAAAAACATTGCCTTAAAATGAAAACAAGACACACAAAGACTGAACTTGTGTCTTGCTGTTGCCAGTACCATCAATGAGCTTGCTTAGGAAGTATACTGCACTCTGGAAGAAACCATTCCAAAGACCCGAGTTCCGCCTTTAAAAAGCGATCGAAGCTAGTTAAAAATTCTGCTCCCCCAATCCCTACATTTTAAGAATTTGGATCTTGGAAGGAGTCCAACGTTCTCCATCCCCAGGATACCGCCGATGCTCGGAAGGGATGACGCCGGTAGCGACTCCCGCCCCCTGTCACACCCGGTGCTCCCCGTGCCCCTGTCCTTCCACTAGCAGCGCCGTTAGCCGCCTGTGCAGAGCCCCCGCAGACACGCATCGGGGAAACCGAGCCACAGAAGCTCAGCGATCGGCGCGACTCTTCCTCCGGGGACCGCGGGCACAGCCCGGGAGCAGGAGCCGCTCGCTGGCCGGGTTTCCCGGGGTCTCCGGGCCCCGCCTCGCCCGGCTCGCGCCGCTCCAGCACGTGCGGGGCGCGGGGTAGATCCACCCGCGCGCTCCGCCCCCGGCCGGGCGCCTGCGAGCGGAAGTGACGTCGGCGCAGAGCCATTTCCGGCAGGCCGAAACTAGGAAGAAACTTGGAGCTGCCGAGGTCCGGGTCGGAGTCGCCGCCACCGTGCCCCGTGGCCGGCGCCGCGCGGAGCTGTGGAGGCCTGGCCATGGGGCGGCGCCGGGCTCGCGCGGCCTAGGCGTGCGGGCTCCGCGGACGGGCGGGGCGCGGGCGAGCGGGAGCCGCGGCCACCGCCGGCCTGGGCTCCGGCGGCATCATGAACATCGACGTTGAGTTCCACATCCGACACAACTACCCCTGGAGCAAGTTGCCAGCTAACGTGAAGCAGGTACGGCCCCGCCCCGCCCCGCGGAAACCGGGCTGCGGAGCGCTCGGTCGCCCGAGACCGAGCTGGAGAGATGTCCCCCGGGCTCGCCCAAGCCTGGGGGCTGCGCTGCCGAGATCGGAAACCAAGCCCCTGCGCTCCTAAATTTAAGGGTGGCGGGAGAAAGGAAGATGGGAACAGTGCATGCCGAACAGGGGGGCGAGGGGGTCACACTTACAGCTGGCTGTGTAGCCGACGGCAGGCATTTACACTGGACCGAGGAAGACAGGGACCCTCCTCTCCCGGGGAGAGCGGAGAACAGGTCTCCACACAGTCGCGAACAGTCACCAAAGTTTGGAGATGTGTGTGTTTCGATGCATCTGGAAGCGTCCCGTGACTGCTTCTGTGTGAGGGGGGTGGTGGTGGCCGATGTGGCCGACAGGGCGGTCAGGACCTGATTTGGATGTGTGTGTGCTTTGAAGCGTCCCGTGACTGTGTCTGTGTGTGTGTGTGTGGGGGGGGGGTGGCCGATGTGGCCGACAGGGCGGTCAGGACCTGATTTGGAAGGGTACATGTGCTTGGTGTCGTCGGACTTTGTCCTTTAGACAGACCGACTTCAGAAGGGATGTGTCAACAGGAGCGTGACCTGAGATGTTCCAATCTAGTGCTTACCTGAAGGGCAGATTCACTCAGGTGTTTTAACAGGTATGTGTTGGGCTCCTGCCGGATGTTACGCCTGGTTTTGGGTGCAGGTAGTTTGCATCGGCCAGACTCTGCCTCCCCAGAGTGTGTATTTTATAGCAAAGCCACACAGCAAACGGACTTATGAATGGGTGCCACACACGGCAGGTGCTTTGACTTCCCAAGAAGATGTCAGTGCGTGTGGTACGTGTAAGGCTCTGCGCTTGGCCGCGGTCCCCTTGATCTGTTTTCCCATGGTGATGGGCAGCAGGTGTACTTTTGGAGAATGGTGGTAATGGTCGCATCATTGCTGTGGTGTATTTTGAGTTCCAGTTCTAGGGAATGAGTTAAGAGGTTCTGGTGAGCATCACGTGAGAAAGAACATGCTTTGAAGACACCAGAGCCCTAGATAATGGCAAGGCGTGTTTCAGGGACAAAAGTCTCTAGGATGTCAGAGTCAGTTTCTGAAACTTGGAAAGACAAGTCTAAACCTTTAGGAACATGCTCCTCCTAAGTTTGAATGAGGGTTTGGCAGACAGTTTTGTTCTTTAGACAAATATGTTCTGAGACATATCTGAAGACAACTAGAAGTAGTAGATTTTTAATTCCATTTTTAAATAGATCATACCCAATTTAAATAATTGATTCTAGTTAGCATTGGCAAAGCCTCCTCCAACTTAAGTATGATTATTAAGTGTAATTATAGGACAGTGCTAAAACTTAAGTCCAAATAAACGGTTAGTTTTTGTGTGTGAAATCACTGAAAACCCTCGCTGCTGTCGTTTAGGCTGACTGTGGTCTCTGTTTCTATAGCTTGTTTCTGCAGACCTTCTCCAGGCTTGCCATGGCTTCCTGGAGTCAAGGTCCACTTCCGATCACACCAGCTTTCTGTCTGGTGTCTTACAGGGCCTTGCCATCCCCGCTTCACGCACACTGGTCTGCGGCGACTCAGGAAAGCCCAGTCCTCTCGGTGCCTGTCCGCCCTCTGTCCCAGCGTCTTCTTGACAGTCACTTGGGCATTTCCTGGGAGGTTTCCTGGCCCCCTGATTCTGAGATGGTTTCCCTCAGCCATGCTGCCGTGGTGCTGTTACTTCTCATCCATCACAGTGGTCACCCACCATGGTGCATTTTCTGGTTAGATTCTTCGTTAGGCTTTGTACCCTCAGCATCTATGAGCATAGTTGGTTGTTAGTAGCTGTTTGTCAGATGTTATGAGGCTTCAGTTTGAGATGCTTTCTAAGTAGCTATAAAAACCTCAACTGTATTAGGGAGTTTTCTTTATTTTGTGTGGAAAGACTGTGTATTTTGATTTCCAGTAAGTTTTGGTGGGCTTTGTTTAGAAATGACTCATTTCCCAGTCCTGAAAGCTGTAGGAAGGAGACTCAGATAAAAAAAGTCTTAGAAGCCAGTTTTTGTTTTCCCTCCAGTTTGGATGGGTTTTATTCTGTGGGTCACACCAGACTTTAGAAGGCACATTAAACAGTTGTAGATGGTGGCCGAGCATGTACAGAGAGCCTAGGGTTCCTTCCTAGGGCAGGAAAGAAATGTAAGTCGGGCTACTGTTTTCAGGATTTTCTGCATTTAGCTAATATCAGGCATTCTTTGTCTGACACGTGTAGTTCTTTTATTCAAGGTAAGTCATGTGATGGATCAGTTTTAAAATGTGGTTCGTCCGTCTGTCTGTCAATCATCTATTTGTTTATCTTTCTATCTATCTTTCTATTACCCACCCACCCACCCATCCAAACGGTAGAGGAATACACGTTAGGATGCACACTTTGGTTTGTGGGAGCCTTGGGCGTAGAAAGCCTGTTTTCAGGCGTATCTGCTGCACAGGGAGTGAGTGTGCTCTGTAGCTGGTGCTCATTTCTACATCACTGCTTCATCTGCTGTAGTCCCTCTTCTCTGAAGCCCATCTTTGTCTGCTCGGCCTTCCCATGTGCAGCCAAAACTGTCCTAGTGAAATGGCCGTTTCCCTGTTCTGTCATCAAGGTCTGTAGTGGCAACAGCATTTTAAAATGGTGGAGATTTGGAGAGGGGCAGAGTCAGGGTTGCTGGACAGATATTTATGTATTTCTTGAGGGAAAAATAAAGCGTTCACTGTGGTTAGGGATTTATGTGCATAACACATACTGACTGATGGAGACCAATCAGATGCTCCACACGTGGTCCTAGACCTCACATGGTGATAGAGTTCCCATTCTCCACTGATAATTAACTGATAAGTAATGATAACTTAAGCCTTACTTTGAACCAGAAGATGAAAACCTCGGGTCTGGAACTTGCTGTGGTTGTAGCGGGATGACACACTTGTGTACAGTGAGTGTGTGTGGTGTTTCCTGAAAAAGAGGCTTTGACCGGGCAGCGGAGCTGTGTTCTGAGCCCCTAAGTGAGCTGCTGCCGTGGGATGAGCCTGTTGCCGTGTGTAGAGGGTGAGGGAGTCTCTGCACAGTGCACTCCCCTCCAGCGTGTGGGGTTACAGGTGGAAATAGCTGGACTCCCCCAGCCGTGGTAGACGAATGTGATGCAGGAGGAAAGACTCTCAGGGTTCACATCATGCCACTGCAGCCTGACAACTGCAAAACATAGGTGTGTGCACATTTAGTTTCTGCTTTTATGAACCTGTAAAAAATTACAACCAACTGAATCCTCTAATCATTTTGTCATTTAAGATGTCTAGTGTAGCTTTATATTGTGCCAGGAAAAAAAACAAAAAACCAAAACCAAAAAAAAACAAAAAAACCTATACCTAGTAATTAGAAATGAGAGAGCATTCAGATACTAAATAAACTTTATAAGCATATTCTTTGCTTTCATAGTTCCAACTTTGAATTTAAAACACTATGTGCACAGCTAGAGAGTATTTTGTTTATTATGTGTAATTCTGTATTTCTGCCTGTAGTATGTGTATTGCTGATTCAATGGTCACTGACTGAAAATACTACAAAAGCATGCTTTATCCAGAATGTGTACAGACTTGTTTCTTATCATTGTTCCATAGATAATACAGTCTATCAACTTGTTAGTGGGTGTTAGATTTAATCTCAAGACAACTAAAAACATGCAGGCAGGTGTATGGTGTGTGCAGATTATGTGTACATGTGATGCTATTTTATGTAAAGGGTTGGAGCGTGTCTGGGTTTTGGTGTCCTTATGGCACAACTGTCCAAATGTTTGCCAAGGTGGAGGAGGGCAGTGACATTTACAGGAGCAGTTTTAGCACATTTGAAATGCACATTCTGAGATCTTAATCTCCAGGAATCAGGGCTCATTTCAATGATGGAGTTGTCAGTCTGGCCTTCCTTGGTTGTATTCTTGAGTTCACATAGGTGTGGGTTTGCAAAACCACCTACCATCCTCTCAGCTGTCTGTCCGTCCGTCCGTCAGTTCTTCCATCCAGCTATCCATCTGTCCATCCCACTTAAGTTTGGGATATCCTGGAATGAAATCTTTGTTAACAGCCTTGCTAACAAGTACTTATCTTCTTATATTGCTTTTTTATTTTGTGTAACTATTTTGAGTAATTTAAGTAAATCATTCTAGAAAGGCACACTACAAAGAACATGTGAGATTTCGTTTTAATAACATAGTAGTAAAGTTAGCATAAAAAAACTTACTCCTTATTTAGTTCCAGGCATGAGAGATGCCCAGGTGAAATTGGGGTCATGGTTTTTTTTTTTTTTTTTTTTTGGTTGTTGTTGTCTTTAATTTTATGGTAGACAAAGTACTGTTGTTCATCTGGAAACTGTTTAATGGTCATGTGTAATTTCTTTTAGAGTCTTGGAAACTCACAGCGAGAATATGAAAAGCAGGTTGTCCTGTACAGTATCCGCAACCAGTTGCGCTACAGAAATAACCTAGGTAAGCGGGGTGTCCTTACGCTGGGTTGGGGTGACTGTCGCTGGGTTTCACGTTTACAGATCCCTCGTTCTTTCACTGTTGTGCCTGGGTCTCTCCATGTGTGGACTTTAAGAACATTCGTACTGATTCACTCCACGTAGTAACTGTTCATATCATAGCGTTTTCTTTCTTAAGTGCTTATTTATTTTTTTGCCAAATTAGTTTGGTTATCTGTGTCGTGATGGTATGTGTTACTTCTATTTTAAGCTTAATACTCCAGAGAGTTTCTGTGCAGACATACTTTATTGACGTCAGAAGGCTTTCTGCATTCGAGAAACAGAGTAGGGACAAGGAAGATAGTTCAGTTTAGGACCATGCTTACCATATGGGGACCTGAATTCCATTAGAGGTGGTGGCATGCTTCTAATTTTTGCCCCAAGAGGTAGAGACTGAACTATTGTGGTGACTCCCTGGGCAGATTGCCTAGCCTGAGTGCTGAGCCCTAGGTCCCAGTGAGAAATCCTGTCAGAGGGCCTACAGGGTAGATTAGCTTTGTGGATAAAGACAGTTGTTGCCAAACCAAACCATTTGAATCATCTGAATTCCATCCTTAGGACCTACATGGTGGAAAGAGAGAGCTAGCTCCCCCAAGTTACCCTTTGACTGCATTTGTGTACACACATAAATGGATTTTAAAAATGAACATGGTGAATAATACCAAGGAATAATACATGGGGTTGACCTCTGGCCTACACACACATGCATACACACACGCACAAATGCACGCATGCACTCACACACACGCTGCCTGGCCTATAGAGTGAATTCAAAGCTAGGTTGTTACAGCTGAGTAGTGGTGGATATGTGCCCCGGTTTCAATCCCTAACACACAAAACAAATGGAAACCAAAAAGGGTTTTAAAAACGGGCTATGCTGTGCTATGCTGTGAAGTGATGTTCTCAAGGGTGTGAGACTGACAGCTTATGTCTGTTGATTCTGTGCTTGCTTCTTGGTTTGTTAAGAATTCTTTTCTCTACTTACGTGTCTTACTACATTTTACTTACACATATTACAGGAACTGTCTAATTTTTTTTTGTGTGGTACAATTGTTGCTTTGTTACAGTAATTTATTTGTTCTTGTCTAGTTTGTATAATGTTCCAAAAGTTGAAAAGTATGTGTTTTACCCTGTGTTATAGTGAAGCAGTAAGAAACCCGAGAAGAGCGTACGTTTTCCTTTTCTTGCAGTTAAACATGTCAAGAAAGACGAGCGCAAATACTATGAGGAGCTGCTGAAATACAGTCGTGACCATCTCATGCTGTACCCTTACCACTTATCTGACATTATGGTGAAGGGCCTAAGGATAACACCGTTTTCATACTACACTGGGATCATGGAGGTCAGTATCTACTGTGAGTGACAGGTAACAGTGGGGTGGGACTCTGAGTCAGGGCACCCTCAGGGGACCGCCAGCTTCCCCGCTTTCAGCTCTCATGCATGTTGACTATCCAGTTGGTGTGTATCAAGGACGGCTGGTCACACGGTAGCTGAGGCAAACATGCACACAGGGTTGCCGTTATTGATGTTTTTATGTTGGAAAGGTAGCTGCCTGTATGCTGTGGCTTTGAAGGTGTTTACCCTTTGTGCTGTCATGGTACTAATCAATTATTTATACCAACAGCTGGTACAGTTACTGCTTATAATATATAAGATTAAAAAATATGGGTTGCAAACTTGAACAGTAAGATCAGGGAAACTTAATTATTTAACTATTCACCGCGTATAAAACATGATGGTGTAGACCCAGCATTTTATGTATATAATGCATGTCAGGAAGGAGAGTTGTATTCATTGTCCTGGCTGTTAGTCTCTGTGGTTGTTGATTTTACTGGTTTGTACTTATTTCTTGTTGAATAATGTTATAGTGGTTCTATACGTTTTTAAAGCGAGCTTTCTATAAAGATTGACATATATATCCAGTATTTACTCACTGTTTATACTTGAGTCCTGCTGCTTTGGGCTCTCTCGACACTTAAAGAGCAGAGGAAGGCATCTCAGGAAAGCTAAGCACCTGCAGGAGCAGGCAGGCTAGTGAGTGTCCTGAGGTTCAGCTCCTGCCATTGGCTCTGGAAGCCACTCTTCTGTGGCGCTTGTCCAGTCGTGTGTTTCTGAAGTTCTCCTCTTGGGCTCTGATAGTCCCTGGTGGAGAAGCGTGGCGGTGTAACGAAGCGGTAACTGGCCCTTCCTTCCTGTTGTCTCTGACTGTTTTTCTGGTCTCTACCAGTTTGGGGTAGAACAGAAGAGTTTTGAACCTTTACCAGCTTACCTCTCAGTTATATTCACATGCTCACTGTTGTCTGGGTTTTCTTCTTCAATGATTGTCAAGTCTGGGCTGAAAATGGGTCTTATCCAACAGGAACCAGTTGGGAATTGTTGGAGAAGAGTGAGTTGAAACCCTGATACTAGTTGAGATGGGGGCAAAGACTTGGAGGCAGTTAGAATCTTCGTTGGAAAAGTGTTGCTGGAGTTGACACTTTATTGGCCTTCTCTCAGCAAAGGAATGAAGGATCCAATATGAAGTATGGAGAAACTAGAACCCTGAGTTCTAGTAGAGATACAGGGCAGCTGTCTGGGACTCAGAGAATGCTCTGAGAAACCCACACCCAAAAGCCCAGCTTTCATTACGGTGTTGAGGCCCTGGTCTTAGTACCATAGCCACTGTGACCCACTGTTTGTGTAATAATAATTGTTCTCTGTGTGTGTGTTTTATCTAAGGGAAGTTATGTTTCATATTTTTTATTTTTTTTTCTTTAAAGGACATCATGAACAGTGAGAAAAGTTATGATTCATTGCCTAATTTTACTGCTGCTGACTGTGAGTATCAAGAGTAACATTTAGATTGTGTCTTTGTGTATGCACCTTGTCTATTAGGATTGTCTGTTTCTGCCCTGAAGTAGCAAAAATTGAAATAATAAGAATAGGTCTCATTACTAATGAGAACTTTGTTGCATAATACAAATCAGATGTGAGAGTTAGCTTGCTGTCAGTGGGAGGCTGTTTTGGAGTCAGAAAGTTAGGACTAACCATTATTCTAGAGAGTGAAATTCTTGCTATTCTATAGGCTGTGTGTCTGCTGATGGAAGGGGGACAGTCTGCACCCAGGCAGCTCATCTTACAGTAGCGGGTGGAGTTTCATAACATGGACTGCTGTTCCACTGTGCTGATCTCAGTGAGACTCACACTGAACACGTGATGTGGTTCTGCTTTTTCTCCGTGTCCTCACCAGCACTGACAAGAGTGGTGACTCGAGTTCACCTCTCCAGGGTCAGGGTTGAGGTTTCTTCGTGTGTGTGACCAGTTCTTTTGATATTGATGGCCCATGTCAGTGACTTTTAAGGGACTGTTGCCTCATGCCATCGAGTGTGCACTCACTCCCATTTCAAAATGTACTAACGGGAAGACTTCCTTTCAGGTCTGCGGCTTCTTGGCATAGGAAGAAACCAGTACATCGACCTGATGAATCAGTGTAGGTCTTCAAAGGTGAGTCATCCCCTTTGCTCTGCAGCCTGCGTGTCAGAGCTCGATTACAACCAGAGCTTGGTTTAGAGTGGTAGAAGCGTGAGTTAACATGCGTGTCATAGGAGCAGTGCACAGGTCAGACCTTCAGTGTGAGTGACAACATGTTAACGTTTCTTTGCTTAGCCCCAGAATTCACGTAATGGGTGAAATATGTTCACATTTTCAAATGCAGTTTCTAACCTCTGGGGTTTCATTCCTTTCATTTCTGGATAGAAGGTTTAAGTAATTTATCTTAAAATAAGTTAAGTTTCATTCTACAGTATGTAGACTACTTAGTATTTTAAACATGAAAGTTTGAAAGGATTTAACCTGGTGTAATGACTTATATGATGATAGAAGAGAGTGGCAATTTGGATTGGTTGCAGACCCTTAAATGTTGTCCTATTTATTGCAGAAATTCTTCAGAAGGAAAACTGCCCGTGATCTTCTACCGGTAAAGCCAGTGGAAATTGCCATCGAGGCATGGTGGGTGGTACAGGCTGGATATATCACAGAAGATGACATCAAGGTAGAGTTCCTTATAGACTAAAACCAGAAGAAAAAGAAGACTAAAACCAGAATATTTATTTTTTTAACTTATTTTATAATTTTAAATTACATTACATAATGTTTTAAAAAGTAACATTTGATTTTCTTGTAGAAAATCAATTCAAGCTAATTCAAAATGATTTAGTAGGTTAGATGGAGTGTGCAAACCCTCTTTAATGGTTCAGGAGGCATGTTTGGGTTCATGCACAATAACCTTGGGGTCTTAATTACAGGCCTTGTGTAAAGGGGTGATGGCAACTTCTGAACACTGACTTTGTCACATGTGCTACACACTAATGTGGCTATGTTCTTGTCTCCTCTAAGTCTCATGACAATCCCAGGAGAAAGTATTCTTTGTGCCCAGTGCACAGATGTGGAAAGAGAACACAGCAGTTAACTCAATGACCCAAGTTAGAATGATAGGAAGGGTCCAAGACTGATCGATACTCAAGTGGTTTCTTTGGGATCGCTAATCCAGTCACTGTTGAATTACACTGAAATCGGGCAGGTGTCCTGATAGGGCAAGGGTATGGAGGCCAAGAGCAGTGATGTCCCAGAGTTGATTCAGGCTGTACATGTCTTGAAGAGGACTGTGCTTGAAGAAAGGGAAGAGCCCGAGAGATATCTTGTGTGGTTGAAAGAATGTATGTGGCCTCTTCATTATTTATTTGTCTGTGTACTTCTAGAGGGCATTTTAAAGTTGCAAGCTGTACATATTTTGCTTTGCTGTAAGCCCTTACCAGCGGAGTTGTCGGCCTGTCATGGCTTCACCATTGTTCATGTGGAGTTTTTCTCAGTGGATGTGTGATAAGGATTTAGATTCATGTGTCTGATTCCATTTTAGAGAAAAGGAATAAACAATGTGTTTATCAGTGAGCATTTACCACTAACCAGCAGATGTTGGTATTTATGGTTATTGTTAGCTAATTCTAAGGTGATAGATGGCAATGATAAGGCTCATGTAATCAGTCATGTGCTCCAATGTGAATACATCTGGCAGATTAATTAATTAGGACAGAAGTTAATTGAAAATACTTCCTTTTTCTTAGATATGTACTTTCCCTGAGAAAGGCGCTATTGATAAGATCATCGACTCTGGCCCACAACTCTCTGGGTCACTAGATTACAACGTGGTACACAGTAAGTCCAAAAACTTGCTTTGCTAGCCCCAAAAGAGTATCACCTGAGTCACATTGCTTGAAATGTGATCTTAGTCTTTATTTTCTGGTGTGGATGTAATTATCGACCTACACAAGGGAATGGCAAGAGATTTGTAGTTCAAAAATATGTAACAAATCAAGATTTAGAAAATGTAGTTAGTTTTCTCTTACACTATTTTCTTTTTCTTCATGTAGCATTCAGCTTAAGACATCACAGAAAGCCAGCAGTCAGGCTTGTAGAAAAAAATGCTGTTGTATAGTGTTCTGTCTAAAATAAGGTGCTTTGTTTTTGTAGGTTTGTATAACAAAGGCTTTATTTATCTGGATGTACCCATATCAGATGACAGTTGTATAGCTGGTAAGTCTGGGCTGACATTTTGCACAGTATTTTGAATGACTACTTAAAGCTACATGGTGTGTATCACCTAGTAAATTTAAAACAAATCATTCTGTAATCTTAGATATTCAGATTTTTTTAAAAGAATATTATTTTTACATTTAACCCATTGTAGTTTTACTAAAACTTATTTCATTTTTATGTTATTTTTATTATATATTTTATAAACAATTTAATATGTAAATATATATTATACACTATATTAAAATAGTAGAACTTCATGATAAATTTCCTACAATCCCAGATGAAATCACTGTTTTTTAAGCTTTAAATTTTGTAGCCTATGTATCCCACTTTCCCATGAGATTTTATTTTTTTGTATTTTGTGTGTTTGAGAGCATGTGCTGCATCTACATGCTGTGGAGTTTTTAGTGGCTTGTGCAGATTGCACTGTTTCCAAGGAGTAAAACCACAACAGTCTTCTGTTGCTCACTTTTTTGGCCTGTGAGGCTTGAAAGCCCATATCACAAACCTTTTGCAGGCTCAGCTCTGCTCCTGTGTGTTTCGCCAGCCCTGTATTGTTTAGTGTTCCCTCAGCCTTAGTAACTCCGAGTCCCACATGAACCCTTTAGATGGCCCTGTGTAGATAGATGGTGTACGTGGCCTTGACTAGGACCTTTGGAAAGGTTGCTCAGGAGTGGATGAAATGTGTAAAAGCTGTGTTCTGTCTCTGAACGATTTCACTCTTTGCATCGGCCTCTGAGCTATACTTTGTTGTTTTATTGAAGCTAGTGCTGAGAAAAGTCTGTTTTGTGTGTTTCAGTTCCTCCTCTGGAAGGGTTCGTAATGAATCGGGTACAAGGAGATTATTTTGAAACTCTGCTCTATAAGATATTTGTGTCAATAGATGAGCACACTAATGTCGCGGAGGTAAGTGTGGCAAAAGCATTTTTGAAAGGCTGTGCTGGTAATTCTGAACTAGACCGTAATTCTCAGTTTTGTTTCCTAGCTGGCAAATGTCCTTGAGATAGACTTGTCACTGGTGAAGGTATGTTATTCCTTACCTTTTATTTGTGGTGTGAGTACTAGGTGGATTTTGCTATTTGACTTTTATCTTGATTCATTGCTGATCTTTAATGGCTGCTTGAGGAAGTCTGCATGGTAAAGGGATGGTTGCAGAGAGAAAAGGGGAGATGAGCCCTGGGTCTCTTTGCACTCAGTTAATGTCGCAGCAGAGTTGGCCTGGTCTGTGGCTGTTGAAGCTGCATCTCTAGCCTCATTAGAAGAGGATTTAGGGCAGGGTAGTCCTGGGCAGGTTGCTCCATAGGAAAGGTATGGAAACCTTGCACATCACCAGAGGCTTAGTCTTTTGCGGTCTGTTTTTCTCTACAAATATTCTGATGTCTGTTGTAATACTAATTCCCTTACATTCCTTTCAGAATGCTGTTTCAATGTATTGCCGATTGGGTTTTGCCCATAAGAAGGGACAAGTAATAAACTTGGATCAACTTCATTCATCATGGAAGAATGTTCCCTCTGTGAACAGATTAAAGTAATTCATTTATTCAGTATGATACAGTTTCTTTTTGAGAAAAATTTTTACGTGCAGAAAGTCTGTGTGTGCAATATGCTTTTGAGTTGACTCCTGTATGTAGTGTTTCAGTCATCTGGCAGGGTAGACCTGTATAACTTGATGCAAACTGAGAACGCTTCATTTAGGGAAAAAGCGCATACGGTATCTTATAAACTGTGTAAGTTAGAAGAACTGGATTCCCCAAGACTGTGCTTGAGCTATAACCGTGATTGTCTGTATGTGTCCAGCACTGTGTGAGTGGTAATCTCACTTTCATGCGTGTGTATTGGCCCATGTTCTGGTGGGTTGTCGTGAGATCTTTTATGTGATTTTTAAAAAAGTGAATGTGTTTTTCATTAATAGGAGCACTCTAGACCCACAGAAGATGCTTTTGTCATGGGATGGTGGGGAGAGTAGGAGCCCTGTGCAAGAAGCTTCTTCAGCTACTGACACTGATACAAATAGTCAAGAAGACCCAGGTTAGCGGCTGGCTGCTGTGTTCCCTTCAGTTTGTCTGTAGGTCCGCCGTCCGTCCAGACACTCCTCCATCCCTTGTGCAGCTCGTGTTAGATTTCTTATTTCCTATGCAGTCTGAGTCCTTACCAGCATTGTGAACACTATGCTAAGTCTTGAAGGTGTGCGATAAATAAGAATATGGCGCTTGCCTTCTAGAAACTAAGCTGAGGGGGGAAAGGGGGGAGCGCATAGCTCCCAAAACAAGCAATTGTGGTGTTTGGACTGGAAAACCAAAACTTCTTTCACTTCAGGAAGATTAGAATGTCTGTGAGTTCACTGGCCAATGAGGCAAGGGCATTTCAGCCCAAGAGAAGGTGAAGGCTAAGTCCAAAGGGAGACACACAGGGTTTAAAGTTGAGGGTAATAGGAACCTGGAGTGGCCTTTCTACTGTTCTTATTGATCTGGCAATCATCAAGAATTTTTATTTCTGGTTGTCAAGGAAATTGACTGTGCTTCTTTGCTTTTCTGTTGCACTGATAAAATACCATGATCAAAAGCAATTTGAGGAGGAAAGGGTTTATTTCTACGTACAACTTACAGTCCAGTGTAGTTGGTTGATTTTTACTCTTACTCTTTTGGGGGCTTACTATTTTGGTGGCTCCAAAATAAAAATACACACGGAGGTTTATTCTTTCTTATAAATGCCCGGCCTTAGCTTGGCTTTTCTTAAGTCCCATCTGTCTTTTGTCTCTGGGCTTTTACTTTTCTCTTCTTCTGCTTGTCTGTCTTTACTTCTTACTCCGTGGGTTGCTGGGTAGCTGGACCCTTGAGTCCTTCTCCTGCTCCTCCTTTTTTCTTCCCAGATTTCTCCTTATATTTTCTCTCTGTCTACCAGCCCCTCCTGTCCTTCCTCCTGCCTTGCTATGGGCTGTTCTGCTCTTTATTAGACCAATCAGGTATTTTAGACAGGCACAGTAACACAACTTCAGAGTTAAACAAATGCAACATAAAAGAATGCAATACATCTTTGCATCATTTAAACAATGTTTATGCATATTCAACAGCATAAACAAATTAACACGTGTTAAATTAATATTGTACAACAAGCCAATGCAGAAACTTCAACACGAATCTGTAGGCAGGAATTCAAGTGGAGACCATGGAGGGATGTTGCTTACTACTTTACTCCCCAGGCTCCTGTTCAGCTACCTTTCTTATACTTCCCCAGACCAGGGTGGTCCCACCACAGTAGGGTGAACCCTCCCACAACAATCAATCAACAATTAATCAAGGAATGCCCTCAGACTTGTCAGTCTAATGGAGACACTTTCTCAGTTGAGGTTTCCCCTTCCCCAATGTCCCTGGTTTGTGTTGAGTTGACTAACTCACTAGGACATCAACACAAATTTAAATGACTTTTAAACTTTAAAAATAAATTTCCCCTCATATGTTGTTAGTACACACCTGTACCCTTTCCTGGGAAGCTGGATGCAGGAGGGTCAGAATTCAAGGCCAGTTTGTGCTACCCAGTGAGGACCTGACTCAAAGGACTTGAGTCTGAAGACTGCAATATTGCTTATATTTAATTACGTTTGTTAGGCTGTCAGATAAAACACTTATTTCAGGTGATGACAAGAAAGACTTTTATTGACTTGATTTTGTATTCTATTTTCTTTTCAGCTGACACAGCCAGTGTAAGCAGTTTGAGTCTGTCCACTGGGTATACAAAGCGCATTGCATTCTTATTTGACTCTACTCTTACTGCATTTTTAATGATGGGAAATCTTTCACCGGTAAGTCAAATGTTGTTTCAGTGTAAAGATGTTTAAAGTAGAGATGAGATATAAAACAGTTTGGTGCTTTATACAAATGTCTTCGAGTTCGGAGCTATTTCTGAAAGCAGCCACTGTGAGGGTTCCCAGTGAGGGCTGCTCTTACAGTTGGAAGATCTAGTTGCTCATGTGTCCATCTTCAGTTTAAATATATTAGAAAGCATAAGTGTTATTAGCTTACAAGGGGAAAGAGAATTTTAGTATTGTGCTTCTTTTTGCAGAACCTGAAAAGTCACGCGGTCACCATGTTTGAAGTCGGCAAACTCTCGGATGAGTCCCTGGACAGCTTCCTGGTAGAACTGGAGAAGGTCAGTGCACCGGGCGGCAGGGCCACAGCTCTCCTGCCGTGAGCCGTGCTCATCTGTCCCTGCTCTGCCTGTCTCTACCCCATCTGATTCTCCGTGTGCTGACTAGACTTCAACACGGTGAAGGAGGGAAATGCGTCCTGGGGTTGTAAAGTGACATAACTAACTCCTAGTGTGATTTGCTATAGAGCAATTTTTCTAACCTTTGTTTTGTTTCTGTTTTTTAATTTGGTATGCCCGAGGAAAGCGCTGAGGCAGGTTTTTTTTTTTTTTGTTTTGTTTGTTTGTTTTTCAAGACACAGTTTCCTCTGTATTGATTTGGAGCCTGTCCTAGAACTCGCTCTGTAGACCAGGCTGGCCTCGAACTCACAGAAATCCACCCTGAGGCAGTTGTATTTAAGTTTTTGTTCCTGTTCTTTCCAGTCTGGAGCAGTGTCCCTGAGTACCACATTCATGTCTGCTGTCACTGTCCCTGTTCGCATCTTGAGGACATTAGCTGTGTTTGCTTTAGCCCCTTTCCCTGTGATTAAGCCTGATCCAGTGAGCTCTTTGTTGGTACTCCTTTCCACTGGTTTAGTCTGCCCTCTGTGTGCTGTGTTATCAGGTCTGTTCCTGGCCTAACAGTTTTGTATGCTTTTGTGATTTAGTTATGCGTTTTGTATATTAAATGTACTATTTAGAGAATTTGTAGTAATTTTATAATTTCTTTATGTCATAGTTTTTTTTTTTTTTTTACTCTTCTGTAGGATTTTGCATTCATTACTGTAAAAAATATGAAATAATACTTACCAATTGGTTTCACGTTTTTGGTTTTCATCTGTATTCTTCCAGATGTGTTGCTAGTTACGGTTTTATTGTTTTACTCTACATTTACATTCATTCTGACCTCTGATTATTCTTGAACGTTTTTGGATAAAGTAGAAGTGACTTTAGAACTTTTCCCCCTTTGAATCATACAGGGGACATAGAGCTTATAAAATGTCCTGTTTAGCAGTGTTAACATTGTTATACATGGTGTCCTTCCCATCTTCTTCGTGGATGCACTACATTAGGAACTGTCTTAGTTAGGGTTTCTATTGCTGTGAAGAGACACCATGACCACGGCAACTCTTATAAGTTAATTGAGGGGCCTCCTGTACAGTTGGGAGGTTCAGTCCATTATTAATCGTGGCGGGGAGCATGGCAGCATGCAGGAAGACGTGGTGCAGGAGGAGTAGCTAAGAGTCTTGTAGGCAGTAGGCAGTTGACTGACACACTAGATGGTGTCCCGGGCATAGAAATCTCAAAGCCCGTCTCCACGCTAAGCCCGTCTCCACGCTTCCTCCAACAAGGCCATACCCACCCCAGCAAAGTCACACCTCCTAATAGTGCCCCTCCCTGTGAGATTATGGGGGCCAGTTACATTCAGACTACCATAGCAGCTTGTTCAAAACTGGCTAAGGTAATTCATTGCAGTATTTCCTGGGCAAGTTTTTGAGTTGCTGTTTTGTTGTCTGGGGTTTTTGTTTGGTTTGGTTTTTATAGTGTCTTTACACATTGTGTTACATGATTATTGGATGGCAGGAGAGTGGTGTTTTGTAAAAATTCTGTTTTCTCCTGGCTTAGGTTCAGAGCACTGGTGAGGGAGAAGCACAGAGATACTTCGATCACGCGCTTACTCTGAGGAACACGATCCTTTTTCTGCGGCATAATAAAGACCTGGTTGCTCAGACTTCTCAGCCAGACCAGCCCAGTTACGGTGGGAAATCAGCAAGGGTTTCTCTGTGTCTATATGTTTCTTGTGCTTTTTCTTCTTTTAGTTTGTTCCATCCTATTCCAGGTTGTTTGTTTTTTTTATCTTCTGTTTTAAGAGGCCTGTTTACATACTAATAAGAGAGAGAGAGAGAGAGAGAGAAAGGGTGTCGATTTAGGTGGGTACAGAGTTAGAGGGCAAACTATAATCAGAACATATTGTATGAAAAAAAAAAATCTATTTCAAAAAAGAGACATTTTTCCAGTGTGGTCAGTATAAGTTAGACATCAAACTCACTGTGTAACTCGGTAGCCTAGCACTTTGGAAAGATTTGGAAACTACATTAATAGATGAACAATCATAGTTATAAAAATCCTAGAAAGTACTCCAGCCGCTGTGATCTAGGTTTATAGTCCCTGCCCTAATGTGCATTAAGTGCATTTTGTGGTTGACATTGATAACGTTGACCTTTGCCTGAAGGTTGGGAAGCTCCTCATCCATTTTTGCTTTGGAAAATGGCTTACTTTAAGGACCATATTTTTCCCACTCAGCTTACATGAGATTTCTGTTTCACCCCTGTTCGTGTCTGACAAGTCCGAAATAGATCCCCTGAGTTCTTTCTTTGCCTCATAAATGATAGGCTGATTTGCCTCCCATCTGATCAGTCAGAATGGGATGTTTGTTAATCAGATGTGATAGGCTTCTTTGCTAATCCCAGTCTCCCAAAGTTCACACTGACCCCACCTTACAGTGCAGCATTCTCTAGTCGCCTGTTCTGTACCCTGTCTCTCCACGCCACTTCTTGCCTGGTTTGTTTCTGCCCTATATGTCCACTCTGTAAAGACCGTAGGTCACTGCTGCCCTGATCTCTCTATTGCAACTCTGCTCCGTGCCCCCAATCCTTTTCAGCAAAATCGTTCTAAATACGAAGCCTGAAGTTTCTGTTGGAATTTTCTCGGTCGTGTCTTTTGTACGGTTTCTCTTTGGCCATTATAACAGGATCTTCTCTGTTGGCTCTTTCTTAAGCCACCTGCTGACTGTGGTGGTGTCTCTTGGTAGAGGGTGTTTTTACTGACGCTGCACTCCAGCCTTCCTATCTGCCTGGACAGACCAGGTACTGTCCCCGACACTAGATCACAGACCTTAGGCTCTTTAGAACGGGTTCCACTGAAGTGTGGCAAGAACGAGAATGATCTTTTGGCACAGAGTTTGGGAATAAGTTGTTTATCATGGCCTTGGCATGCTATTGAGGGCTTCCTGGAAATACAGCTGTTGTGTCCAGCAGCTTCTGCTATGTCAGTGTCCAGCCTGCTGACTGGTTGATAATGTTGATAGCTTTCACAGTGCTTTCTTTCCTCTTTAGGGACAGATCCAGGCTAGGAAGTGGTGCTTGCTTTTCCTGAGGATTTGGTGTTTGACCCGTGTGTTCCTCTGTCCCTTGCTGGTGATATTAATTTGGTTACCCAGTTAATGTGTCGCCTGATTTCTTCATGATGTGGCTATTTCTTTTCTCCTCAGCTAAGAGGAAATCTGGGAGATGCTTCAAGACCTTGCAAGCTTACTACTTCTGTTTGCCTGAGATTTAGCATCAGCCATGGTTCTTTCTCAACTGTAGTGGCTGCAGATTGGTCATGTTCCCTACTCCAGCATTACTTCCGTATTTAACAAGTTTTTCAGTGATTTGTAGTCATTACTGACTCAATTATTTCTGTGCTTTAGTTCTCATATCACTTTTAAACTGGTTTCTGTCTCCTTGTGACATGACTCCATTTCCCCCCCCCCCCCCCAATAAAACCTTACTTTATAGCGAAACAGTAACCCTGATCTTACTCTATGCAGTCTCCTAGGAGCTGGCTTTTTTTTCTGGGCAGTGTGTGAGAGAGGGGTCCTGGTGCTACCTATGCTTGGAGCACCTTGGTGCTTTCAGTAGGCTGTACACTTGTTTAGATGCACCTTCATTTGAAGGGGGAAGTGGCTCACTAACCCTCTGAAGTTCTTTTTAGTCTTAAGTATGCCCTTTAGAGAGCGATAGAGTTTTTAAAGTGTGTGTGTGTGTGTATGGGGGGGGGGGGGAGGAGAGTGCGCCACTGTGTGGACCTGAGTGTGTTGACTGTACACATAGAGGTCTGAGGACAGCTTTTCAGGGGTCAGTTCTGTCCTCCTGTGGGCTCAGACTCAGGTAGTCAGGCTTTCACAACAGGTACTTCATTATCTGCATAGCTTCCTCTCCAGCCCCAGAGGGTAATAGGAGGTGATGTTTTCCAGAGGACTGAAGGCAACGGTTGCTTAAGATGAATGCTGAGTCCTTGTTTTGTGTATCAGCAATTTAGGGCACAAATTCCTTACTGAGAAATGCTAAACTCTATGCTAGAATCAGATCGGGGCAGTGATTTTCTCTATAACATTGGTTTTCAACCTTCCTAATGCTTTGACCCTTTAATACATTCTCTTGTTGTGTGACACCCCCCAACCATAAAATCATTCTTATTGATACTTCATAGCTGTAGTTTTGCTGCTGTTATGAATTGTAATGTAAATGTCTGTGTTTTCTGATGGTCTTGGGGGACCCCTGTGAAAGGGTCCTTCAATCCCCAAGGGGTCAAGGCCCACAGATTGAGAACCACTGCAATCTCAGGGAGAGAAAGAAAGACACAGCCTTTTCCTTGACACGTTTGCTCAGAATATGCTGCAGAGTACTTGGGGTGGGACTGGGATAAACAGTGTCCCACTAGAGGACAGCTGTCTTTCTAGATCAAAAACTTTGGCTACAAATCTTAAAATGTTCTGGTGGTCTTGTTGGATTTGATACTTTGTAGTAGTTACTGTACCTTTAAAAAAGTCTTGGTACAGCATGCTCAGGGCCTATATAAGTCTGCTCCAGGTTCTTTCGTTCATTAGTTCATTCGTGTGGTGTGTGTGTGTGTGTGTGTGTGTGTGTGTGTGTGTGTGTGTGTGTGTGTTATAGTTTAGGGTTTTTATGGGATTCCTGAATGTGCAAATGAGTGGTTCTTTGATTCTTGTGCCTTTTCTTGGGCTCTTTTCATCGAGTTTAGTTCTAATGAGATAGTTTTTGTCCTGTTTTGTTATATTTTTTATTATTAATATCTGTTAGAAGGCCATTCTTTTCTAATGAGAGACAGGAAGGAGTGGATCTAGGTGGGAGGAGTAGAAGGAGTGGAAACTATTATATGAGAAAAGAATCTGTTTTCAATAAAAGGAAAAAGTAAGTCTTAAGGCAGTGATTACCAGTTTGTCTTCAACATTATTTTTCACATGGTCAAGCCCTTACTCCCCGTGTGCTTAATTGTAACGTAGGTTTTCCCCTGGATCTCTTACGCTGCGAAAGCCTTCTTGGTTTGGACCCAGCGACTTGCAGCAGAGTTCTCAACAAAAATTACACACTGCTTGTTTCCATGGCACCGCTCACTAATGAAATCCGGCCAGTTAGCAGCTGTACCCCTCAGGTAAGGACTCGCTTGCAGGCTCCGGGTGGGAGTGTGATTACTTCATTAAGGAAACAGGTTGGTTTTCTATGGAGGTGGTGTTGCATTCAAGTTGTGAAGTGTAATTGGTGTATTTGGCTTGTCTATCTTTAAGTGACTGGTGACACATTCGATTATAAATGTATGTGAAGTGTTTTAGGAGACCATTTTCAGTGCTCCAGGAAGAAAGCTTGGATGAATTTAAGTAGGAAAATATAGCTCTTTCTGAAAAGTAGAGTCATGTTGCTGATTTAGCTGAGAAGAAAAGACGGGCTTTACAGCCTAGAACTTTGTAGTTAACTGTAGAGCTCGTGAGGATGACTACTGGTCTTTTCTTTTGAGGAATAATGAGATACATGTCTGTGTACTCAGCAAGGACGGTGTACCAGGTAACATTTCCAGGGAGTGCAGGTTATGTTGCTGTGCAGTGGTCCATCCTGCCTGGATTCCTGAGTGTGCAGGGCTCCGTGATAGAGAACGGAGGAAAGGTGTTGTGGTACCAAATTTGTTTTTGCTACCTGTGTGCTCTATTTAACTCAGTGTATTCTCAGAGCAGGAATCTGTGAACTGTCTGCACAGAAGGGAAAATGGATGGAGGGGACAGGGACATCATCCTTCTTTTGAAAAATAGCTCGTGATTGATGATGATGAAACTGCTACTGTAATGTGGAGCTTATTTGCCAGACCTTAGTTTAAGCATCCGTACAACATCTTCATGTGGTAGCCACTTTCTTGTGCTTTTGTGATGGAGCACATGAGGCCCAGAGGAGCCTCAGGAACTTGTAAGGTGATGGGGCTGGGAGGTGAAGCCTAGGCTCAGACCAAGGAAGTTTCTTAACACTGCAGTGATACACAGTGTGAAGATAAAACTATTTTACTGCATTAATTACCGTTATCTTCATAAGGATAATAGCAATTAAAATGTGTATGAAGCATTTGCTACTTAGAAGATTATACTTGGTCACTTGTGAAACTTGACTCTTTAGATAAGTATTACAGCTTTATCTTACCTATTTTATGGTTATAGCATATTGGACCAGCTATCCCAGAAGTGAGTTCTGTCTGGTTTAAATTGTATATTTACCATGTCACTGGGCAAGGACCACCATCTCTCTTATTGTCCAAAGGTACAAGACTTCGGAAACTTCCAGATATATTCCAGGTATGTGTGTGAGGTTTTTTTCCTCTCATGTTCCATTCTGTTCTGCTGAGGATTGAACCCATGGCCTCATGCATGTTGGGCAAGCATGCATGTGAGCTATTTAAGGGAAAATATAAATTGCTGGGCAGTATTACATCATTTTCTTAATTTCCCCCTCTTTCAAAGTGCCATTTCCTGTGTTATTCATCTTTCCATTAGGGCTATGATCGGCTACTTATAACCTCTTGGGGCCATGATCCAGGGGTAGTTCCTACGTCAAATGTGCTCACGATGCTGAATGATGCTTTAACACACTCTGCAGTGCTAATTCAGGTATGTTTCGTCTCATTCTCAGCACAGTGAGTTTAGGTTTCTATCACTTGTCCTTTTAGCACTGACCTCGTGAGCTGACCTGGAGTCAGATGACTCACTTCACAGCTGAGTTGTAAGGACTCGGGTGGCAGCACCATTTTTGTGGGAGTAGCAGAGAAAAGTGGACGGGGAATTTGGACCCATTCTTTAGTTAGAGTCTTATGCAACAGTTTTTTGTTTTTTTAAAAATAGCATTCTGATCTGTAATTCATGTGGTATAATTAATCAGTTTAAATTGTACAATTCAGTGGATTTTAGTTTAGGTACAGATTTGTGTAGCTCTCAACAACTCAACTTTAGGATGTTTTTATTTGCTCAGAAATGAGCCCTATTCTGTTCATCTGTCTTTCCCTCTTCCTATCCTTCCTAGACTTATATAACATCACTGTCTCTACATTTGCATAGCTTGTTCTGGACTATATATATATATGGCCCACAATGTCCTGGATTTTGGACATGTTGGAGATCAGACAGTTGAAAATATTCTGAAATTCAAATGAGAGGCTGCAGGAGAGCAATGACTGACGTGTCAGCCTCAGCATGTGGGTGGTAGTTGGATCCTTGAGAAAATGATATTAGTCAGGGAAAACGTGTGGTAGGGATAGTGATGGGAGGTGACAAACGCTGAGCTGTGCTGGACATGGACTTAAGTGAGACTGTCCAAATCCACATCTTGGTTCCACTCCTGATGGCCATCTCAGACAAGGTAAATGCTCTTTGAATTCCAGTGTCTCAGCTGTCTGTTGGAGATAATAGAAACCCCTGTCTTTCTCAGGTTGTTGAAGACATTGGCTGAGATGGATAATTGGCATAAGGTGCTTTGCACTGTGCCTGACACAGGGCAGTCTGTGAGGATGTCATGTGTGGTGATGAGGTGAGGCAGCTGTGGGCATTGCTTCCTCTTTTGTTACTGTTGTGAGTTACCACTCACTTTACCTGTAAAGTGAGGATGATTGCCAAGGTCCCGTCTACATGTAATAGTTAATAAGTCAGGGCAAATAATGGGTATTGTGTTGTTTTTGTTTTAGTATCATACAATATGAATAGGAAAGGATAGGTTTATTAGTTACTTTCCTCTTTACTGTAACAAAGTACCTGGCCAAAGCAACCTTAAAAGGTTTGTTTGGGCTCACAGTCTAAGGAAATCCATCACAGAGGGGGAGATGTAGAAACAGGAGGGGGAGGCTGACCACATTGCATGTAGTAGGAGGTGAGTGCTTGTTGTCATGGGATGTGGCTCCCCACCTCTGTTAACCTCCGTCATGTGAGTCCTCACTGGCACGCTCACAAGGTGATGCCCTAGGTCCTGCCAGGCTGGTTATAGAAACTGTCACAAAGCTACAATTTTATTTACAACTTTATAGTTAGGGGCTGAATCACTAATGTCTGTGGAACATTCGAGACATCTGTCAGAAATACATTATGAACTGTCTAAATGAGTATGATTTCATGCTTAGTGATTACACATTGAGTGTGATTTCTTGGATTTCTCAGCCCTTCCCCCTCTTCTCTGCCCACTCAGTGCCTTGTTTCCTCACTCTCTCCCTTTGTGGGTTAATTTTTTGAGGGGAGGTCTTACATAGCCCAGGTGGCCTTGAACTTGATGGGAGCCTCTTTTCTCTGCCTTCCAAATGCTGGGGTTACAGGTATATGCACCTGATCTAGGTTACTTTCCTATTGCTGTGAGAAGACACACTGACCAGAAGCCCCTGGGGGAGATAAGGGTGTCTTGGGTTACACTCCTAGGTCAGGGTTCATTATTGAGGACAGTCAGGACAGAAACAAATCAGGAACCGTAGAGCAACACTGAGTACTGACCTGTCACTCACTGTCCTATGCTCTGTAGGCCTTCTCACGCAGCCCAGACACCCACAGTGGGCTGGACCTGCCTACCCAGTTAGCAGTCAAGATGGTGAATGCCCAAGTCTGCTGGAGGCTGTCCTCATTTGACATTCCTTTTTCCTACGTGACTTTTGTGTTCTGTCAAGTTGATAATAAAAACTAATGAACACAACACCACTCCCAACTACACGAGTATTTCTTCAGTTTAAGTTAACAGGTCTCCTTTAAGGGTAAAAAAATGTATATATCTTAAATACTTAAATCCTCCATTATAATAATACTGGATATATGTGAACATAAAATTGAATTATTCATTGTTCTTATACTCCTGTAAACTCTAGGAACTAAAGAAAAAATTTTGAAACAAATTTAAGTGAAGATTAATGAATATGATAGATGAATAGTGTGTAATGTGAGGGAATGAGGTTTTTAAAATAATAATATTTTTATTCTTTGAGAATCTCATACAATGTTTCTGAACATATTCATCACTTGAATCTTCTCTTAGATCCGTTCCACCTCCCTACCCACCCAACTTCATATGTATTTTCTCTCTTTCTCATTCTCTTATGCTTTCTCTTTCTGTCAAAGTCTTGAGTTCAGCTTGTGGTGCCCAACTACTCCCAGGTATGGATGGGGCCTGCTCCATACAGTGCCATAAGCGAACACTCTCTCCCTCAGCAGCTAGTAAATGCCAGTAGCCCTTCACCTAGGGGTGGGGCTTCAGCCCATTTGCCTCCCTTCCTCTAGTTTGATTGGGTCTCTGCATGTGGTCACCATCGCTGTGGCATCATATGTGCAGCTGCCCTGCTGTGCAAGGAAAACTTTCCTTGAAGTCGTCCACCACCTCTAGCTCTTACCAACCTCTTTTTATCATGCATTCCTGAATCTTGAAGGGAGGGGTATAATGTTATGTCCCATTTAGGGCTGAGCAATCCAAAGTCTTTATTCTCTCACACTGGCCTGTCAAGAGTCTCCGTGTTAGTTGCCGTCCCCTTCAAGAATGTTTCTCTGATGAGGGCTGGGAGATGCATTGATCTGTATGGGCATGGCATTAAGTCATTAGGAGTTGTTTTAATACTAATAATCATTTAACAGAGCAATAGTTCTCTCCTAGGGTCTGTGACCTTCCTGGCCTCTTGGCCACATTAACAGTGCCAAGTATAGGTTCCATTTCATGAAGCAGCCTTAAACCTAATCAGAAAATGGTTGGTTACTCCTAACACTTGTGACACAGTCGTGCCAGGCAGGCCATTGCTGTAGCCCACAGGACTCGCATCTGGTGACGGTGTTTGGTGCAGAGCACTCTTCAGCACCTTGAAGGGGAGAGCTGAGGCTCCTTGTCTGCACCCACTTGCTTTCTCAGCGCTGTCTGTGATGCGAGCAAGTGGTGTCCTCGGCTCTAGGGTCTCGCTGTCAGTCTCTGGAGAGTAACCAAGAGTGTTGGCAGTAACTGGTTATGCTTGGGGTGTGTGGGACTTCATTAGCCAACAACTGAGAAAGAAGTCACTCATCCCCAACAGAGGAAGTGAGTTTCCGAAGTCAGTCTACACAGTTCAGAGACAAAGGCGCACAGGGCTAAGTCGCTTTCCTTTTAATCCTCTCTACCTAGGTGCTAATCCTTATCTTTCAAATAAGGTGGTCCGTTCTAGCTTCAGCTGTGGCCTCTCTGCAGATGCAAGCTAGATGGCCCTGTGCTTCTTTGTTGATTGGACATTCAAATGACATTATAGAGTTCTGTTTTGCAGCTGAGATGAAAATATATACTGTAATTTATTAACTAGTCCTCTGTCGTGAGGCATTTTGGTGGCTTCTGGTTAATTATTAGCAGGTGTCTTTGAAAGCATACGCTTTACCTGTATGAGTTTGAGTATTGTGTCCCAGTTAGATTCATTGCCTTCCTTTTTTCCTCAGAACTACTTCAGTCCTCACTTGGCTCAGGCCTGTGTGTTTTGCTTATTAGTCAGCCTTCTTATTTCTTTTTCTTTTCATATGTTCAATTTGAAAAATGTTGTCCAAGAAGTTAATAAATGTGTAGGTTTCCTTGCTGGAAAAAAAAATACAGAATTGTCAAAGACATTTTGATGATAATATTGTAGAACGTGTCATGGGAATGTTGGTTTCTCATACACCTTGCATTTCTTTCTGTTTGTAGGGACATGGTTTGCATGGGGTAGGAGAAATTGTCCATATACCATTTCCATTTGATGAAGCAGAGCTACAAGGAGGTACCTTTTGAATTCTATCCATTTGACTTTATCATTAGTCCTGTGAATAATTGGTGGAAAATGACAGGAAGTGAGTTCTTAAAATTTTCTGTGTTTTTACCACTTTGCTGTTGAAAGAGGCGGCAGAAGGTAGTTTTCGGTTGTGTGACTCTCTGCCAATGAACTGTTAGAGCCTGTTAGAACCTTTGAAACAGTGTCATGGGCCTTAGAGATGATGGGAGTAAGCTTGTATTCTAGATGGAAGACTTCTACCTGTGGAGCATTTTAGTTTCCTTATTGCTGGGAGAGGACAGTCACCTGGAATGATCCATGCTGAGAGAGTGTAACACATTCTTCTTCAGAGTACTCAAAGCACAGTTTGTGATGTGTGTGCACTTGGTTCCGTGTGTGTGTGTGTGTGTGCGTGCGTGCGTGCGTGCGTGCGTGCGTGTGCATGTGTGTGTGTGCATGCGCAGATGACATTGCTCCCTAACCTCTGGTTCTTTCCGAATTCTAAGTTTTGAAGATGCCAGACCCTGAGAGCAGGATCTCTCTCTTTACAAGACCTGATTAATGGGAGTGTGTGGGTTATTTATAAAGAAGGTCTGTCTTCTTCCATTTGTTCATTGGAGTTAGTCTCACTTAGTATGCAAAAGTAGTTCAAAAACCGTAAAATACACATCAGTTTTTGTTGCTGTGTTCTACATTGAAACTTGATTAATGTGTAGTTACTGTCCTGTCCCTAGCATTTACCCGTGCCAGCATGGGCGTCCACACAGCATTGCAGACCCTGAGGGACAAAGTGGACTTGCAGCATTTCTGTGGCTATGTCACCATGTTGAATGCTTCTAGCCAGCCAGCAAATAGAAAGCTCAGTGACGCTTCTGATGAGAGAGGTGAGTCACAGTTTGTGCTCTCTGGTTAAGCTAGCCGGGTTTGAGTCTAGCATAGTCGTTATGTGTAAACCACAGCAAAACTCAGTGGAAATGTTGAGTTACTTAATGGTTTTCATGAAGAGATGTAAGACCTTGGGTGGGATCCAGAACTGCTGTTGGCTCAGCCTTTTGCCATTGCATTTATGTTCATAGGCTTTGAATCAAATTAGCTTTAGGGAGTGATGACTTCAAAACATTTCCAAAATAGGCTTACTAATTTACAGATTTCATGAAGTAAACTTTGGAAATGACTCTTAACATTCATTTATTCCCCCTCCTTTCTTTTTAAGAACAAATTATTTTTATTTTACGTATGCATGTATATGTTTGCCTCGACCTGCGAGACTTCAACCTAGAACTCAAAAATCCAAGAAGGGGATGAGGGGGTCAAGAGACGTGGGGAAATTGACCACAAGACAGGGTTCTGATGAAGCGGCAAACTTTATTTTTCTACCCGGAGCTTATGTAGTCAGCAGAGCAAGGATGAAGGAAAGAAGAATAGTTGAGGACCAGAATATAGAAAATCACAAAGAATGGATGTTGACATGGGTGGAAAGATCAGGAGTTATGAGAACAAGGAAGGTTACCATGGTGATGGGGCTAGTGGTATATGCTAGACTGATCTTGCTAAAGAGGGCTGGTTACTGAATCATCAAACCTTTGTGTAAATAACTCAAGGCTCTAAATGTGCAGCCAAGAGAAAGCCAGAGTTCAGCCAAGGGCCGTTCCATAACATCATAGATCCAGCCTCAGTTTCCAACATATTCCCCCTTTCTTATTAGTATGCAGCTAAAATTTTACATCAGAGTGGGACAGTGGCCTGGCCCCTTATTGGCCTAGACAAGCGATAGGGACTTTTTACCGGAACCCCTTTTAGCAACCTCTTGGGGCTGCCTCAAGAGTGGGGCCGTCCGATGTTCTTTTTGCGGGGGACGAGGGTATAGAACGTCAACCTCGATGCATGTAGGCATGTTCCTCAGAAGGCAAGGCCTTCCTGCAGCACCATCCAGGTCTGCACCTCTGAAGCTGGAGAAGGGGTATAGGGCTAGTTCTGTTTCGGGGGAACAGCCCAAGCCTATTGGCTAGTGTGGGATTTGGGTCATTCTCCTCTGAGGCCAGTTTATGGTAGTGAACCTGTATAGGCCATGTGGCAGACTCTACTTGCTGTTTGATAAAGGCTACTAATTTATGAAAGGCCCATGGGCCAAAGGAGACCAAAAGCAGGAGTCCTATAAGAGGCCCAAGCAGGGAAGGGTGCAAAGTACTCAACCAGGGAGATGTAGAGAACCAATTTTGGTACCAGGATTCCTGTCGTTCTCAAGCCTTTTGGTGTTTTTCTAATCCTCTAACCCTTGCCATACTGTACACTATAGTTGGGTGCCTGGGGAAGCCAGAAGAGGGTGTTGGTTCCTGTGGAATTGGAGTTAGAGGCAATTGTGAGTCTGTGTAGGTGTTTGGACTCTAACCCTGGTCAGATCCTGATAGTTGGCATTTTTCTTGTGAATATGTACGAGTTCATCTACCTCTCTCTCCAGCCCCTCTTTTTTAGTTCTTACTTTAGTTTGGATCTCGATACCTTAAAGCACATGGACAACCATTTCCAGTGTCACCTCCCTTCCTCTAGATTGTCCTGGCGTCCATAGAAGAACAGCTCTTGTTTAGCATTTGATTCTGTCTACATGGTGGTGTGTGTAGCTTTGCTTGCCATGGTGCCAGCTCTGATCCACCAACTCTGAGAGTGTCAAGTGACTGTCACTGGTTGACTGTAGCTCATGATCCTTTCAGCTTGAAACCTAAGAAACTTTGGTCAGTAGTCAGCCAGTGGATTGGTTTGGCTCCTTTGACTTTTGGGAGTAGTACACTTCTTTAAGTCATTTATTCCACAGATGTTTAAACAGCAACTAACGTTTTAAGTCCTGGAAACATTTAATTTTTCAAGTTCAGTTTTAGTCCAAAGAGTAAAACCTCAGTAGAGAAGATAAAAGTCTGCCTGGACTGAGGAGTTAAAGGCTGAGAGGGGTGGGGACTCCTTGGAGTATGCATGGGAGACAGATGAGGCTGTCCTAACCTGAGAGCCATGGGGAATGCATCTGAAAGAAGGCACAGTGTGAACCGAGCTTTGGAAGTGAGAGGTTAGTTAGTCAAGGAGTTGGCTGATTGGAATTAGAAAGCAGAAAATAGTGTGGCTCATTTTAGCCAAAAGAAAGTAGTTGTTGGTGAACAGGCGAGCACAGAAGGTGGCTGGGGGTGGGGGTGGGGTCTCATGTTGCTGGGAGATAGAAGGTTCAGGAAAGAATTTTGAAGACTACTAAGACTGCAATGCATATTTCCATGGACGTGGGAATGGCTTTAGGAATGACGGAAGTGAAGTCTGAACTTGTGTTCTGCTTCATGGCTTTAGATGTTTTTTTTGGTCATGGTTGACTTTGACCTTGGAAATTTTATACACATGGTAAGATACTTAGTATTGATGAGTTTCAGGAGCATTGCTGGGTATCAGTTGCATCCTTTTCACATTCACAAACTTAACCTCTGGATATTTGTCACATGTCTACTACTTTAAGCCAAAGACATCTGTTAACCTGCTTACTAGTTTTTAAATTATTTAATGAGAAGGGAGGAAGAGTAAATGGCATAGATGTGCAGCCTAATAACATTTGGCCACAGCTTTCCATAGTTGTGTGGCTGACTGTGGAGAGCTGTTGTATTTTGGACTGCCCTTAACAGATCTTTTCATTTTACTTTTTTATTGATAATTGATTTTTCTGTTATCATTGTTTCTCAAAGTCCTCTTTGTGCTAAGACTTATTGATGACTTCTGCTGGGTACTAGAATCCTCTTAGTGTCTTATAACCTTTAAATTATTAGGCGAGCCTGATTTGGCTTCTGGTTCAGACGTAAATGGGAGTACAGAGTCATTTGAAATGGTCATTGAGGAAGCAACCACAGATTCAGCAATAAAACAAAACTCCGGTAAGATGTTAAAAATCTTTTGCAATTTTATTAGATTCCTTTCTGGGGCTTAACTTTTCTGTTAAGCTATTTGCACGTTGTCTTATTGTTTATAGTGGAATTTTGTGTTAATATGATTCTTCTAAGAAGCATGTTCATGAACTTAGAATAATTACCATAAGAAGTTATAGCCGAGAGTAATGACCTCAGTTTCATTATTTGAATGATAAATACTTGATTCATTTTATCATCTTGCAGATGATACCCTTTTTTGAGCAAATGATTACCTGGAGCATTTAATGAAAAGCTATGTGTTTTTCTCCAGACTTATGTCCATAATCAAAAGACATGCCCTTCCACTTTGAGATATTTTGAACCTGTTTGAGTCTTTCCCTGGTTGAACTCACTAGTGAGTTCCACAAGGGTGGGAGGGCTCTAGGGGTTCAGTTTGGAAGACCTTGCTGCTAGTATAGGATATGTAAGTATATAATTTCAAGCTGTGTGTGTTCTTTTCAGGGGCCACAGCAGAAGCAGATTGGGTTCCTCTTGAGCTGTGTTTTGGAATTCCTTTGTTCAGTTCTGAATTAAACCGGAAAGTATGTCAGAAAATAGCTACACATGGCCTTTGCAGAAGAGAGAGGTAAGGGCTATGTTCATCATCTCATTTTTTAACTTGTCATCAATGTTGCTTTATATACGTCTTTGTAAATTCACACATTATCTTAGGGTTCCTATTTCTGGGAAGAGACACCATGACTATGGTAACTCATACAGAGGAAAACAAGTAATTGGGGTTGGCTTAGTCCATTATCATCATGGTGGGCCATGAGGGTGTGCAGGCAGGCATGATGCTGGAGAAGGAGTTGGGAGTTCTACATCTTTCTATGCAGTTAACAGGAACTAGTCTGTCTCACTGGATGGAGCTTGAGAATGGAAGGCCTCAAAGCCTGCCTGCATAGTGACACACTTCCTCCAACAAGGCCACACCTACTCCAGCAAGGCCACATTTAGTCCAACTAAGTTATGTTAGAATTCTGGTGACTTACAAAATTTTTTCCATCTTGTGTACTTCTGGAAATTTATGTTTTGCTTTTCATAGATGACAAGCAGGTTTGACTTCATGGCAGCTATAATCCTTAGGGAGTGGCTGCTCAGAGGCAATGCAGGAAAGAGTTACTGAGCCCATTTGTTACAAAGGGTGGTTTGGAAGAGAGATATCCACAGAGTCCCTTTTGTATAAGCTTAGGAAAACAAAGTTGGCAGCAGATAAGCTTAAATCCTCTGACTTAATAAAGTTTAGCTAGAAAATAGTGTTCAAGTGATAATGTCAACAAACATTCTCTGAGATAGCATGTAAGAATAAAAGTATAAGGACTAGCTTGGGACTGAGATTTGTCCATTACCTTTTCTCCACACTTGCTGCAGCCATAATCTTGGCATGCATCGTTGTTCCTGGGAAGAGAAGCTTCTGTGATTTTAAGGCTGGATGCAACATATGTCTGTGGGTACATTCATAAATATTAAGAGCATCTTGACACTATCAGTTTGCTAAACAGTATCCACTCCTCTCTAAGGCTTATGCTTTCTTCTGCCATGGTTTTTGACCAGATTTATAGCAACAGGGATGCTCTGAAGGTTCAAGGTAAATTGAAGAAGATGATATGAAATATCATCTCCTGGACAAGACACAACCATTGTAATCATAAATGATGGCAGATCATTGTGAATGCCTGAACTGTTTCTCTAGAAGGATGGGCTCATCAGCAATCAAGTATAGATGGAGGACCAGCAGACGGGCCCCACCCTTCACTTCACTGTTGGACTGTTTTCTGCAGGTGCAGTCAGGGAGAGGAAAAGCATTGCCTTCAGTTGTGTTCCAATGGGGGGCCCCCCTAGGCTCCATTGTGTGGTTACAATTCAGTGTTTACACAGATGGCCTTAGGTAAACTGAATGGGTCACCAAAGTCATGAAATTGGGAAAGGAACAGGTAGGGATGAGAGGATTGATAAAAATTGGAAGGAAATGAGTGAGGTGTAGATAGAAAGTAATCAGAATGCAGTGTGTGTGTGTGTGTGTGTGTGTGTGTGTGTGTGTGTGTGTGTGTATTAGAAAAAAATAACTTCAATTTTGGTTAAATATACGCTGCTCCCTGGTACCAACTTCTGTCTTGGTCACTGTTGTATTTGCTGTGAAGATACACCATGACCATGGCATCTCTTATAAAGGAAAGCATTTAAGTAGGGGCTTATTTGAGTTTCAGAGGCCTAGTTCATTGTCCCTATGGCAGGGAGCATGATCACAGCCATAGTGCTGGAGAAGCATTTGGAGCTGCGTTACCCCAGTGACAAACTTTCTCCAAGAAGACCACAAGTTCTAATCCTTCCAAATTGCTTACCACTCTAATTGGTAGTATGAATGTGGGAGGACAGGGCCTAAAAATGAGGTGGACGAAAGTCTCATGCAATAGTCAACCCTATTCAGAGCAGTGGACACTTTGTACTCTGAGGGTTAAGGAGAATCACACAGGTAAAGTTTTCTTAAGTTTAAGCTGTGTACAATCATAAAGACAAGCTGCATGTGGAAAAACATGTTTTTCCATAGAGGCATGACTTCCATCTTCCACACCTGGGAGGGCCACAAAGGCATATTCCAAGAATAGTACTGTGTTTTTGAAGAAACAAAGGTCATAAGACTTTTGTTTGTTTTCTTGGAATTTTCTCATAAGCACTCAGGATTCTGCTTGCATGACTCCTTGGACCGAGACTTCATTCTTGGACCTGGTTCTGACAAAAATAATGCCACTCCCTGGTGACAAAGCATTCAAATATATGAACCTATGGGGTCATCCTTATTCAAACCACACACTCCACTCCCTGGCCCCCATAGGCTTGTAGCCAAAGCATAATGCAAAAATGTGTTCAGTCATCTTCAGAAGTTCCCATAGTTTATCACAGTCTCAGCAGTCTCTAAGACTCATGGGAGTTTCTTACCCATAATCCTGTACAATACAAAAGCAGATCATATACTTCCATAATACAATGGCACAGAATATACATTATCATCCCCAAATGGGTGGAAAGGGTAGTAATGAGAAAATACTGGGCCAAAGCAAGACCAGAAACCACCAGGGCAAACTCCACGCTCTACATAGATTGCCATGTCTGATGTCAAAGCACTCTTTGGACCGCCAATTTCTTTTGACTTTAGCCATGGCTGAAGTGTCAAGTTCTGCTGTTTGGTGAGCTAGAAGTTGGCCTCCTTGTTCAATTACATTTGCATCAGCTTTCTGTTTTTGATGGTTTCCTTCACTGCCTAACCTTTCATTAATTCCTTTTCACAAGTAGGAAGCTTCACTGGGTGGGATCTTGCCCTGAGGTCACCACTAGCTTTATTGCATTTAGCATCTGGCTTTTCTTTAAACCTTTTGTCTCCTTGAGCACTGGGCTTGGCTCCAGTACACTTCCTGGTGCTCCTTTTTCTTCTCAAACTGTACATTTTGTAATTCTCTTTGTCCAGTTTGTTCCCTTTCATTATAGATCTAGGGTTGTTACTAATAACCACACAACACAGCCAAGACTAGGAAATCCCTTCTTTCAATACCATTAATCTGAAACTTCAATTTAGTCTCAGGAAAATTATTAGGACACGCACAAAAGGCAGTTACAATTTTTTTTTTTTAATATCACAAGAATGGTCTCTAGGAACTGCCCCTCTTTTTTTTAATATCACAAGAGTGGTCTCTAGGAACTGCCCCTCTTTTTTAAATATCACAAGAGTGGTCTCTAGGAACTGCCCCTCTGAAGCCCTTTGTGTAGGAAGTCTTAATTTACATTGTACCTAGCACCAGTGTCTTCCATGCTCCGAGTATGGCCCAGTAAGTCATGCTTAAAGCTGTCAATTGCTTTCCTCATCCACAGTTCCAAAGTCCACATTCTGCCAATAAACAGCATGGTCAGATAAGCTCCCTGTTATCAGCTCCTGTCTTTGGTCACCGTTCTATTGCTATAAAGAGACACCATGTCTATGGCATGTCTTGTAAAGGAAAGCATTTAATTGGGGGCTTGCTTACAGTTTCAGAGGTTTAGTTTATTATCATCACATGGTAGCAAGCCATAGTGCTGGAAAAGTAGAGAGCTACAGACAGACAGACAGACAGAGGCTGTCCCACCCCCATTGATACACTTCCACAAGGCCATGCCTCTTAATTCTTCCAACCCTTTCAAATAATGTCACTCCTGGTGACTAAGCAATATGAGCCCGTGGAAGCCATTCCTATTCAAAACACCACATGAGCTTACATTTTAACATAGATTTAAAGTATAATATTTTATTTCAGAGTGGCCTCCTTTTTATATGCTATTAGCCCCTATTGTTAAAACAGGTAAAAAGCATTGCAATTAATTAAAGAATTTTGTTTTATTATGTTGCATATTCAAACATAATTTGAAATGATAAAATTTAACTTGTAAGAGATTACTTTTCACCATTATATTTAATTAAAATATCTTTTCTATCCTTTTTTTTTTTCCAGCCTTCAAAGCCTCTTACATTCCAGTAGAAAACTGTCTCTACAGGTCCTTAACTTTGTTCACTCGTTCCAGGTAACAAACCCAAAAAACAAGCTCTATATACATAGGGCTTTATAATATGTGAAAGGCTCTTTTTTGTTTATTTTTTTTATTTTGACTCTTTCCCAGTAGCAAGATATGTAATCAGCATGACCCAAGGTGTTAACTGACCTGCGCACTTCACAGATCTGGCCTTCCTCGAGAAGGCCTGGGCTCCTTGAGCCAAATAGGCTTGACTGTGTTCCTTGTTGTGTGTCCTGCATGCCAGTGTGGAGGCCAGGCTGGAGTGCTTACTCCTGCAGTACTGACTCACTGCCAGGAGGGGCGTTGTGGAGGTAAAGGCCAATGGTGTGCAGAAAAAAGGGTAGTCTAGACTTTATAGATTCATAAATAAACTTGGAGAATAGAATATTTCAGTTAGAATATCTGATTCAACATATGAAGTCAGTGTTTTGGAGTTTTCATTCATTCATTCATTTATTCAGTACTTAAGTCTGCCCTATGGCAGACCCTTTATCAAGGGTCAAGGAAGCTGATGGGGGAAGGCATTAGTGGAGCGTGTGATGTTGTGCAGACTCAATCTGAAGGAAGTCCCGACTTAAAGATTGGTACAAAACTGGAGCCTGGAGGACAGAAGAGACGCTACGACAGGCAGAATGTGCAGAGGTCTCATGGGGACAAAAGGCAACCAGGGTGGTAGAAACATCCTAAAGGGGGTGTGGCCGCAGGAGGGTGAAGAGGGCAGGGCCTTCCTGCACTTGTGGAGGAGCTTGTGTGTAGCAAATGCCAAGAGCCATGGCTGAAGGCTGGTGAAGGAGAGACTTGTTAGCGTTGGAGAGGTACAGACTAGAGGCAGGTCAGTCAGCTGCCCTATAACCGCCTGAGGAAGCCATGCTGTGGCTGGGCTCTGTCCAGTAGAGACACCTGAAGTTTGCATGTCGTTCTAGTGGAGACTCGTGTGCACGTCATGTCCGTAAATCACAGCTGTACCAGAAGTAGCGTAAAGGATCGACCTGGCAGTCTCAGTGCTGTGCACGCTGTGGAATCCACTCGCCTGGGCTGTGTGGAATCATCGAGGCATGCTCTGAGGATAGACTCAATAGGAACAATGAGGGTGTAGTAGGAAGGAGTCAAGACAGAGTCTCACACTTCCTTTAGCCCGAGGAGTTGAGTGGGAGGCTGGGGAAGAAGGGGTGGGGTGTTGGGCGTGGTGAGTGCGCAGTGCTGGGAAGGCACTCCGGAACCAGGATGAGTGGGGATGCAGGGCTGATCCGGTTCATCTGAGAAGCCTGGGGGTGTGGCATCGTTAGGTTTGGAGTGGTGGCAGCGTTTTTATTGGCTTCTCCAGTTGCTGAGAGCTGGTCTTTTGTCCCATCATCCCGTAGACCATCTGTGATGGTTTCAAAGCACTTTGCTTGTCATTTTTGCACATATCTCTATGTCTCCCATAGGACTTCACATGCTATGAACTTTTCTCTGGTAATCGGGTGCATGTAAGTTCCATCAGCTGTGTCTCCACTGAAACTAAGTGTGAACGAGTTCTCTTGTCCTGGGTCTTTTAGGAAGGTGCTTCCACCCTGGATCTTCACGCAGAGCCCAGCTTTCCCAGTGTGCTTTCCCAGTCGTCCTGCACGGATATGGGAGTTCCACTTCCTGCCAAAAACCTACTGTTTAAAGACGGCATCTTGTCAGAGTGGAGCGGACGCTCGCCTTCCTCCCTTCTCGTTGCTAACCTCCACTTGCAATAATAGTTTGATTACACCGTTTATTGCTCACACGTTCTGCCTTTTTCTTTCTTGACGTTGGCTTTACAGTGCCAGCTACCAAGAGCGTCCTGCTGCTGCGTCGCGGTCTGTGCGTCACTGTAGGAAGTGCTCAGAGTGTGCCCCGTTTTCCAAAGCTGTGGTGGTGTTGCACATCTCACTGCAGCGCAGCAGCCAGCACTGCGTTTTTACCTTGAGACAATCTGCATTTCTTTTATAAAACTAAGGGTACACTTTATAGGCTTTAGCTGACTGTCAGGGTTATAAGCAGTCACGATGAATATTGCAGTGGTAGTTTTTATATGTTAGTTTCTCAGACATAAACCTGGTTTAATTTTATATTTTGTTATCTACACTAAGGGGATCATAGGAGGTGATGGAACTCTTCCTCCAACAGGTAGTCACGCTAGAAAATGGCCAGCACCCAGCAGTCAGAGGTCTCTACCAGGGCATTAAGGGTTCCTGTGGATGTCTGTAAATTATGTATGCCAAGTGAACATGATTGGGGGAATGTCAGTCACCATAGTTATGTAAACTTAACCTTGATTTATTAAGGTCTTAACTGACTACTCATTGACATCTCATGAGAAGCTTTGGAAAACATTCTATTTTTTAAATGATGTTTGTATGTGGACTTCTGTTGCCACTCAACTTTGGGCTTTATATTTTCATAGAGTCTTTATGGAAAAACTAGAGTTTATTTTCCACTTGTAGTTGAGGCTGTTGCATGTCTCATTTTGTCTTGTAGCTTTACCAGTCAACTGTTAGGACAACTGACTTTGATTTCAAAGCAAGGGTAGTGGTTGGGAACTGCACAGTAGCAGCGCTAGGGCTGTCTTTGGACTCAGCTCCAAGGTAAGGAGAGTCTGCACGCACAGCCCCCGGACCCAAAGGCTAGACACAGCCCTGGGGGAGGGGACAGCGGGGAAAGCACTGGCGGTGTCATGGGCTTCTTGGGGAGTTAGTTCTCTCAGCATCTCAGATGTCAGGGTATTTGGAACCACGCTGACTTTTCAGGTCACCTCCCTTGGGGGTGTGCGGTGTTAGTTCAGCTCCCCTTAGAGGGCAATGGCTTGCTAGTGTGAAACTGACCTAGCTAACAGGTCAGGCTTTAGGCTGTTTGATAGTGGTTGAGCCTAACAGTTTTGCTGATGGCTGTTGTTATTTATACAACTGATATTCATGTATTTAACAAACTTCTGGAAGTATATGCCTTTCTTGAAACCGTTCCAGTGGCCAGCATGGCCTATCTGTAGAGTTGAGTATTGGACCAGGTTCCCTGCAGCACAGTTAGTGCTGTGTTTGGGCAAATGCAGTAATGTTTAGTTTTCTACTTTGTCTCATGTAAGGAGGACTGTGTGTATGTCACGTTTGTCTGTAAAGGAAAAGTACATAGTGATATTAAAATGATTTCTGTAACTGTGAAGCACTCATTAATTCTTCCAATAACTGATACTGTACATTCCTAGTGCTACTGGCTATGTGTGTATGTAACTTTTACAGTTCCAACTGAAAGTTGTATTTCATTTGATCAGGGCTCTTTAATCTCATTTTATTTTGCATTGTTTGAGTTAGCTGTAGGTATTTATCCTTGTATTAGCAGTTGATCGCCAACTCTAATGACATGTACACTAATAAAGAATTGAACAGTTGTAGTTACAATAGTGAGTCCGGTTATTGCTGAGTTTATAGCTTAAAATATGGGAGTGATTTGCTGCTATAATTCCTTTGCAAAACACTGAAGGAACAGATGTAACCTAACCACGATCATGAACTTCAGGGACAGTACTGAGAGGACACGTTTCATATCTGGTTTCTTGTTTGAATGGGGAAGGTGGGGCCTTCGGATTCTCAGCTGATGCCCCGTCTTAGGAGGGACCATTTTGCATCTTTAGAGGAGATGTGAGTGTGCTTTGCTTTGTGAATACGGCCTGTTCCACTCATGTTAGCTCATGCAGAAATGCTTCTGCTAAGTTGCTTAAAAATAAATAAGCATAGACTTTGTTCTTTGCCAAAGAGAATTGAGAGATGTTGTATCTAGGTACTTTGCAAATGTTTAATTCCATTTGGCTTTCCAGCATCTTCATTCTTTCCCTCGCCCTTACTGTAGCTTGACCCATGGCAAGCAAATATTTAGAAACCAAGATAAAAATAGAGCTATTAATATCAAAAAGGGCATACAGGTTAGCAGGGGTCCAGTCTCACCTCATAGCTACAGAAGTGCAGCTTCTGTCAACCAAGAAGTTAGGGTCAGTTGATTCTTAGAACGGTGGTTCTCAACCTGCGGGTCATGACCCCTCAGAGGGGCCAAACGACCCCTTCACAGAGGTCACATATCAGATATTTACAATTCATATCAGCAAAATTACAGTTCTGAAGTAGCAACAAAAATAACTTTATGTTGGGGGTCAGCACAGCATGAGGAACTGTGTTATCGGACCGCACCGCTAGGGAGGCTGAGGACACTGCACTAGAGCTTTTGTTTAAAGTGTGTAGCCAGATGGTTTTGTATTTGTTTGAGGGAAGTGATTTCTCTTACAGCGTGTTCTGTTTCCGCTGCCATTCACATTCATTGTTATGTTCAGGGTTTCAATACACTTGGTATTCAAGGATGTTAAAGTACCAAAACTGTAACTCAGTACAGTGCATTGTTTTCTGTCATGATGTTAATACTATACAATGAAATTGTATAAAGTGTTGTCAATGTGATTATTGACACAAATAACATGTTTACAAATAAACTGTGGTGTTGATCAAGTTGCCATGGAGAGTGTCTAATTTCCTGAGACTTCTGTTGTTAATATTAAAAATCACTTGTGCTTATCAGCCTGACTTTCCTGTACCTATTCAACTAACTCTTAAATTTTGTCCCAATATCAGATTTGCAGAGAAATTGCTAGGCTAGGCCATGGATGTTCGTGTCTCTGTCACTTGGGCAAGGGGAACCTCAGCTGAGAAAGTGCCCCTACCAGACTGGCCTGTGGGCAAGTGTGTGGGAGCATTTTCCTAATTGGTGACTGATGCAGGTAGACCCAGCTCGCCGTGGGCGGTGCCACCCTGGCCTGGAGGCCCTGGCTGCTATGACAACATAGGGGAAGCCAGGGAAGGAAGTCTTACAAGGCGGGAACGGATCCAGAGTTACAGGGTAGTGCTGCCTACTGGCTTGGTCCTTGAAGCTTGCTCAACCTGCTTTCTATACCAAGGACCTGAGAAGGGGGGGGGGGGGAGTGAGCATGATTAACACACACGAAGTCCTCAACTAATACAAATGTTTAAAATTAAAAAGTTCACAGAGAACATAGGCTCCCTGTCTTACTCCAGCCTCTGGTTCAGTTTCCTCCCAGTATCCCAGCTAAATGATGGAGTGATTGGGTTTGGGGTAGTACTTCTTAAAATTAGCTCCTTTGCACTGCTGGACATCTCCCTGCCCTGGCTATGCGAAACCATCTGCCAGTTGCAGATAATCTGTTTCATCTTCATGTCCTGTGGTTTGGGTTACACGCCTCTTAGTTTTATCATGGATTATTTGTTGCTTATCTCTGTGGTTTTAGTGACTCCTTGCCATGAACAGAAATTCATTGTTTTCCAATCAGAAGGCTTCCAGTCTTGTATTTTATTAAGGTGCACACACAAAGTGGAAAGCTCATTCCACTTTGACCATGGTCAGTGTTTAGCCCTCTTGGTTCATGTAGATAAAGCGTATATATTATTTATATATGCATGAGCACACACGCCTAGATCCCCTCCCAACAGATAAGGTAAAGCCTGGATGCCATGCAGTCCATTCCGTAATTTACTGAATTACTGGAAGCATAGTTCCTACAGCTAGGAATGACACATGTACCCACCGAACCACCGCTGCTGACAACAGAATTAAAAGCTGGCAAAAATTGGTCTGGCGTCAAATAAGGGATCGTCACATTAAAAGCGATGGGAGAAATTTAAATTATCAGATGTTTATGTACTAGGAAAATGCGAAGACGAATGCAACAAGATTAGAAATAAGACTGGGGATGACTAACCTACAGCTTGTCTTATGATCAATCTAATGAGAAAAGAATTCTAAATTATATTCTAGGCTTTTGACACGTAAAAATGTAAGACATGCATATTAATGGATTGGCAGCTAGTGTTTTGATAGTTGTGGACATTACTCACTGCTATGACATCAGTCTTAAGCATTGTAAAAATTTGGCTGGCGGGAGAGGCTGTGCAGAGGTGTTTTTAAAGGCATTTTTAAAATTCTTTGAGTATTTTATACATGTATACACACATGTATACTATGTATTTCGTTCATATTTACTCGCTACTCCTCCAAGTTCCACCCCCTAACATCCCCCCCTTTTAATACCCCATTGGGGTCAGTTTGTGTCCCTCATAGACTCAGTGGGTGTGAGCCCATCCACTGGCTCGTGACTGACAGCCTTCAGGGGACTGAACCCCTAAAGGAAATGGACTGCCCTTCCCTTAGCAGCCAAACCTGAACTGGCATTAACTCAGCTAGGGGTGAGGTGGAGGCTGTGAACACCTCTCCCCATGCTGGAGGGTTAGCTGGCTTGATCCTGTGTCGATCTTAGCAGGCAGCTACAGCCATTGTGAGTTTCGGAGTGCAGTGTCCTATCATGTCCTGAAAGCAGTTTTGGTCCTGTTCTCCCTCTGGCTCTTAGAATCTTTCCACCACCTTCTTCCATAGCATCCTGTGAGCCTCTGTGTGTTGTGTGAGACAGAGACAGACAGGTGTTCTATTTATGGATAAGCACTCTGTTGACATTTACTTTCTTTTGGCAGTGTGTGCAGTGTGTGTGTCTCTCTGTGTGTGTTGTATGTGTGGTGTGTGTGTGTGTTATGTGTGTTGTGGATGTGATGTTTGTGTGTGTTGTGTATGTATGTGCATGTGCATGCGTGGAATGTGTGGTGTGTGTGAGTGTGATATTTGTGTGTGTTGTGTATGTGCATGTGTGGTATGTGTGAGTGTGTGGTGTGTGTATGGTGTATGTGCGTGTGCATGTGTGGAGGTCAGAGGACAACTTTGAAGGTTCAGCTCTCTCCACCATGTGATGTGGGTCCTGGGGACTGGGCCTAGGTTGTCAGGCTTGTGCTCTCGGCAAGCACTTTTTCCACCCAGCTGCTTGCCAGCAGGGCGTATTTAAAGCTCCCAGAGCTTGAGAACTGACAGTCAGCCCTCCTAAGGGTCTCTGTGATCCAGGAGACACATGGTTAAAAAGTGCCACCAGCTGTGGCCTGTATAGCCATTTAAAATGTTTCTGTTTTAGGAGATGGTTTTGAATTATAGTTTCCCCCCCTGACATTCAGTGTAGACAACTGGAAACGACTGGAGGGGGGAAAAAAAAAAAGGCAGAAACTGTCAAGCAAATTTAATTTCAGTGCCCAGAGATAGAATAAAGGGGTTTCCTTGTAGGTTTTCTACTCGTTCTCCAGCCACACGCTCGCTTTTTAAACGTGGATACTCCTCAGCACTCAGAACTGTAGTTTGGGTCAGCTTGGGCTCGTGCTACTTTTCATTTCACAGAATCAAAGAATGCAGTTGAGAAATTTAAGAAATGTTTTCATGTATTTAATGTGTGCTCTGAAATGCACTTTATACATCAGTAGGGAGGAATTCAGTCATGTGTCTGGGTAGTTGGTGAGTCCTGGGAGAATATAAATCTTTAGTGACGCTCCACTAGCAACAGAATAAAATGAAAGTTACTTGTTTGGAAATTAAGTTCACAGGTGAATAAAGTTCACCAAGCCGCCAGATGAAATTGTGATCAGCTGTAGTTTGAATATTTATTTCTGAGAAAGGGTCTTGTTATGTGGTCCAGGCTGTCCCCTGCCTCAGACTTTAGAATGTAAGAATGACACAATGCAGGATCCAAAGCCAGGGATGGGCCACCCTCAGTGGACTGGGTCTTTTTATATCGGTTAATTCAGTCAAGACAGTCACCCATGCATACTCCCACAGACCAACCCCATCTAGACAACATTGCATTGAAATTCTCAAGTGATTTTAGTTGGCAGTTAAAACCAGCCAGCGCTGTCTTAGAAGCTTATCCACAGAGTGCAAGCCTTGGCATCCCGTTGAGCCTGCTTGGATTCCTCACCAGCAAGAGCTGTGACACCTGCGGGTTTTCTCTTGGTGTGTGAGAAAAGATATCGAGCTCCATAACATTTTTAGGTGTCCCTTTACATGTCTTGTTGCTTTTGTTTGTTTTGCCCATCAGAAACCATGAGTGCTTTTCACTTTCCAAACAGGCTTCTCCTTAGCCCCAGGCAGAATCACCAAACAGCAGCGTCTGTTCTTGCAATTTTTGCTGTGTCCTTTGTATATCACCGCAGTAAAACCAGATGCCAGAAGGACATGGCAATCCAGGGACGCTTCTCTTTTACTTCATCTCTCAGTGTTTTGATAGCTAGGCTGCCCACCTCTCCCGCGCTGCAGTCCATACCCTTAGCTACTGTGAGCTAGGGAGGCTTGGGGAGTTCTCCGGGCTGTGTCTTCCGAGGCAGTCTCTTCTCTGCCGGTAGGTGGCAGTGTTTCGCTGCTTTTCTATCTTTGTTTCTAAGGAAATAGCCTGTTCTCTTTTTAAAAGAGTAAGCAGGATTGGGTCATGTTTCTCTTTCATTCACCCACCCATACTCTTGTTAACTTTTGTTGTGTTCAATTGGAAAACCACACTGAGACTATTAGGACTTCATTCCCTAGGCTAGCCTGAATACATTTCCAGGAACCAAGGTTTGGAAGGCAACACACCCTTTCAGAAGACTGCTTGCATGTGTTTGGGTGGCGGTGATGGAGGTGGGTAGCACTGTTGGATTTCCTAGCAAGCCTGCCTCCCCTTCCTCCCACAGGTGCTCTAGGATTCCATCCTCTTGACCTCAGCTCAGGTCACGTGTCGGGAGTTGCTCCTTCATTTTCTGAGGTGAAGTGGATGCTGCTGCCATCTCAATTTGATGTCTTACGTTTTAGTTACAATATGAAGATAAACTTTGATGTGGTGGTGGGGGGGGGCGGGCGGTATTGCACAAAAGACCCAGATGCCAAGGACTGGGCACGCATAGTTCGTTGTGGAGGTGTCTGTAAGATGCACGGTTGCGTGGGGAAATGGAGGGGAGAGATGCTGTATTAAGAGTGGATGAGGAAAAGGGTCCCCAAATTCCCCACTAGGAAGCTATAGGTGTCTCCCTTGCTTTTGTCCTGTCCTTGTGTCTGAGCTGCCCCAGCCAGCGTTAATGCTGGCACTTTTACTGTCCTGCTGGTAGGTTGAGCATCCTTCCAGATCCAGACTGACAGTGTGGCAGAGCCCCAGGTACATACAGCTGCAGGCGGCTCTTGGGTGGGCCATGGAATGTGGAGGTGTTGGGGGTGCAGGCGTCTGATAGAGGACAGGCATGCTGTGGCCTTCATGGTCCTGGCCTTGCCGGTGCTCCAAGGGACATGTGTGCTGGACTAGGCTGCAGGCTGGCGTCTTTGTGGCCCGACTCTTGGACAGCCGGTTTTGAAAACTGGATTGTGCTGGCACTCTGAGCAGTGTAATAGTGACCCTCACATCAGTCCAAGGACAAGTTTGAAAGTCATTTAGTTGTGCAGATTTGCATGTCAGTGTGGAGCGGAGGACCAGGGAATGGAGCTTTCTTCCTTTTTCTGTCTCTTTGGCTACCAAAGGGTTAACTGACACAGAGAAAGGGGGTGGAGCCTGAGATAGGTGTAGAGATAGGAGGGAGCTGGGGGGGTGGGGGGAGGAAGAGAAGGGGAGGGGAGGGAGGG